ATACGCTTGGAAAGATAACTTTGCACTTTTGGCGCATTTCTAAGACACAGTGTTAGAAATGGGCCAAGTGTTAGATTTGGAACTAATTTCCCATGCATTGTGTTACCGCACATTTTTAATTATAATAAACTAGCATTCAGTTCACTTAACGAATAGAACTATACTGGGTTTTTCGTCAACGGAATTTCCGCTTAAATACAAAACTTTTTTGGGAAATAGAATTTTGACCAGCCCTGGTAACTATAGCTACCTAGTATCTCAATATCGAACTATCGAAAGAAAATTTAAATTGCAAACATTTAGCTCAAAATTGTAAATAGGTAAATTCGAATTTTTTTTTCGAATTTATAAAATGCTTTTGGTAAATTCGATCTCGCGAGCAAAATTTTTCTAACCGAGTAACTTTTTGCAACCATGGTACTAGCTGTATACAAAACAACAAATAAGACAAATAAATGATAAAGTCATGAACTTTGTATACAAACTGTCTAAAACAGTCAACCCCGAAAAATCGCTCTTTTTTCTATAAAAGTAAAGATTGAACACTAGCTCTGTGTAAATTAAGTTAATATCAGCTAGTTTAAACTGTGTGAATGCGTGCAAATGGAGGAAATTCCCCTCATGAGGTTGGATAGGGTGGGGAAATAGATAGGAAAGAAAGGGGGGTAACTGAGATTGAACTGATGGGGGGGGGGTTACTATCAGATCATTACACAAACAATAATGAGTTTTGGTTGGATAGTTAAGTATCTCAACTCACTAACTATCCAACTAACTAGCTTTGCTTCATGTCATCACTATCTTCCATTATATCTATATTCTCTACAGTTTTCAGANTTGGATGGTTGGATGGTTGGATGGTTGGATGGTTCGATGGTTAGATGGTTAGATGGATGGATGGTTGGATGGTTGGATGATTGAATGGTTGGATGGTTGGATGGTTGGATAATTGGATGGTTGGATTGTTGGATTGTTAAATGGTTTCAATGGTTGAATGGTTGTTGGTTGGTTGGATGGTTGGATGGTTGGATGGTTGGACTGTTGTATGGTTAGATTGTTGGATGTTTGGATGGTTAAATTTTTGATTAGTTGGATTGGATTATTGGATTGTAGGATGATTGAATACAAAATCATAAAAATTGCAGATTTTTTTGAGTCTATAAAAGTTTCGGGGAACATAACTTGCATAGCAATTCTAAATACCTCTTACATAACATTTTCTAGAGCAAACTTTGTTTATTCCCCCCCCCCTCCCACCTGTTTTTTTCTAAATCTTCCTTGTTGTTCTCAAAAGCATACATGTCTTAGATTAAGCTTGAGGACTTAACCAAATGTTTCATAAACTGCAATTTCATTATCAGAAACCAAATTTAATGAGTAGAGAGAATTAGTTGATCTACGTAGACTAAATTAAATCACTTTTCTGGTGTGCTAGTTTGAGCTTTAAAAAGTGGTTCAACCTAGTATACATAATAAAACTATATTTATCGCTCTTAATTTAATTTTTTTTTCATAAAATTGCGATAAACGAATAAGATAGTTTAAGATTGGTATTTAGTTTATCTTTAAAGGATTTAGGATGATTTTACTGTCAGAACATCACCTTAAACCGAACCCTGTGTCTTTATAATCTTATCTGCTTGGTGTTAATTCCTGCAGATTGCCGCCAGCATGATTCTTTGGCGGCAATCTATTGGCTTGACGGAGCCGCCAACCCGTGCCTGTACGCACGGCTACCATTATGCCATTGTGCGAGTAGATATTAGAGACACACACTCAGTGTGGAACTGTAGATCAGATAGCAGGATAGAAGGATAGGTTTAGTGGATGTGTGTGTAGCTCGGTTTCCCCATCAGATATCAGAGGTGCAGCTTGCACTAACCAGCCTACCAGATAAACCTAATTGCGCGTTTTCAACCCATTTTCCAGGATTTTCTGGCTAGTGCCGTTAGAGTGGCTCAGGAAGCCCGGAATTTGATTGGTATTTTGTACACAATGGAAGGATTGGAATGGTTGGCATCTTTCTAGGTATGATTACACAGTGTCAAGATTTGAAGATATAGATTCAATATCTTGGGTTGAGATCTAGAGAGATAAACACGTGATAAACATGACTCCAGCTGGTTCTCACACACTCCAGATCAAATATAGTGATCTTTAAAAATCAATCGGAGAAGCGTCATAAATCTGGTGTTTGATCGAGTCATCCAATCAAACTATACATTCCATCCTCCAAGAATCCGGATCAAAAACAATTTCATCCAACCCAAGAATCTGCGCTAAACTCGAGTTTATTCAAAGTTTTATTGAGTTCTATATAGAGAGGATAAAACTTTAACAAAGGAAAATGAAAATGTTGAAAGTTTAGAACAAAGAACAAAAAATCTAAAAGAACCAAAGCAGTGATAAAATTTAGAAGAAATAAAACTTCTCAGAACAGAATTTTTTTGATAAATACTTTTTTGAACGTGAAGTGAATAAAGAGAATCAAAAGAAGAACATCTTGCAAGGAACTGACCCTGTTCATAGTTTTGATTTTTACTTCAGAATATCACGCCAAACTTAAGTAAAAGTGTGTGTTCCTAATATTGAGGAGCTATTGAGAAGAACAAATTTGTTTCAAATTTTTAATACTTAACCTGATATATTTTCTTTTCTGAAACTTTTGCTTAAAACGAAAACTAGAGAAGCAACGAGGTTACAAAGTTGTACTTTAATGTCGCAAAAATATTACCCATTCCTTTTGTCCATGTTCACATTGAAGCATGGCTACCCAAAAAGGATCAGACTTCAGAGACGACTAAAGAAATCTGTCGAATTTTTTTTTCATAAATCTATTCCCTGCAGCTGTAATCATGGTTATTCTTTACCAAATCTGTTAACTATCAATAGTGAAAACATTCAGTTGATTCGTTTTTATTCGTTTTTTATTCATTTCTAATTCGTTTTTATTCGTTTTTTATTCGGTTTTTGCCTACATTTTCTTTTAGGATCAAAATTTGGCACAAGGATAATTTTTTATTTTCAATATTTGCATTTTTAACATTATGCCAAATGTTGACCTAACGATGCAAGAACGATCCAAAAACGAACTATTAACGATGTAAGAACGATCCAAAAACGAACCATTAACGATCCAAAAACAGACCATTAACGCTCCAAAAACGGACCATTAACGACCCAAGAACGATTCAAAAACGAACCATTAACGATCCAAAAATGATCCAAAAACAAACATGTTACAATGTTTTCTTTAATGGTATTTAGAAGCAAAGCACAGTGATTTTCAGCACTAACTTTCTCCAATTCAGGCTAGTTTTTTAAGCAGAGGACAAAATAAAATATTCAGATAGTTCCATTAAAAGAGATTTAGGTCGTTTTAAAGGTCTCATCCTGTGTGGGTAACCGGTCAGCTGTAATCCTGTGTGGGTAACCGGTCAGCTGTAAGTTACTAAAGTAAAATTTGAACTCGTTGAATTTTGAGCAGAATTTGATTTTTACTAGAATTTCAAAGTGATTTAACCCCATCACGTTTGGAATGGGGGGGGGGGTCGTGTTTTCCACCCTCCTGTATTTTTTTTTTCTAAATAACTTAAAAACGGCATATATTAGACCGTTAAACATTCATACCTAATTAAAAATTAAAAGCCACATTTGCTGAATTTTATTAACGCCATATTTGTTCTCAATTATTTGAATTAGTTTAGCTCAAACAAGTTTAACAATATGTGCTTTTTAACTCAAATCTTGATAACCCAAAAAAATATGGGGAGAGGGGGTATTGATTCTCTCCCTTTTTAGTTTTTAAATTTTAAACCTCACTCGTCAAACTTTTATGTTGAAAATTCTTGATTTTAGAAAAGCATTTTCAAGGATTTTTTTTTTGGCAATCCCATTCTTGATAAACAAAAGTTTAAAAACACATTCGCACAACATTGTGTTCCAACAAAATTTCACACATTACACCCTTACCTCCCACTTGCACTGCATGGCATTTTAAAAAAAGCTTAGATTTAACGCCCCCCCCCCCCACTCTCCTTCCCCCGCATTTTCAAAATTTTATATATTGGCACATTATCTTTCTTATTTTAATCATTCATTCTTGGCTTTCGATGAAATAATAATTGTATAATTATCATTATTATTATTATTATTAAAGTTTATTTCGCACAAGAAAAAATGGTAAAATATATTAAGGCAAATACATAATTTAAATGAGGAACATAATTAAATATAGAATATCACTTTTAGTCAGTTCATAAAAACAAATTATATCATTAAATTCATCATAGTTAAAATCGTTAACAGAGAAATTGTTTGATCTTAGATCTAGCAGTTCATAAATGAGAGGTATTTTCCAATTCTGATCATCTGGTAACTTTGAAAACGTGAAATTTTGTTTAACAACAGTTTTGAACAAAATGTCGACTAGCACATCATCTGCAATTTTATTCAGATTTTTACATAAAAATTCTTCATTATTCACGGGCGCATACAGGGGGGGGGCAGGACCTTCGCACCCCGCTGACAGATTCAGGGGGAGGTGTAGCCCCCCCCCCTCCCTCTGAGATTTCAGAATAGCTTCTCAATAGCACTTAAGGGAAAGAAAACCTTACAAATTCAAACATTTTCCAATTATTTATTATACGTAAAAATCTGAAATTATTAAATAAGAAAATCTTATTTTCGTTGTTTTTTGTTAAGCATTTTTTTTGCTATTTAGGTATTTAAACTTGGTTTTTTTCATATTTCTTATTAAACTTTTATGAACAGTTGGTTGGTTTTTAGTTTGAAAAACGGCGTTAACTGGAGGAGACTGCTGAACTATTTCGGAGGCTAATTAACGGTTTCAGAGTCTGGTCAAAGATTTCGGAGGCAATAGCTGTTCCAGAGGCTAGATACTGTTTTAGAGGCTGGAGAACTGTTCCGACGGCTGGCTAACTGTATCGGAGGCTGGCTAACTGTATCGGAGACTGGCTAACTGTATCGGAGTATCGGAGACTGGCTAACTGTATCGGAGGCTGGCTAACTGTATCGGAGGCTGGCTAACTGTATCGGAGACTGGCTAACTGTATCGGAGGCTGGCTAACTGTATCGGAGACTGGCTAACTGTATCGGAGGCTGGCTAACTGTATCGGAGGCTGGCTAACTGTATCGGAGACTGGCTAGCTGTTTCGAAGGCTAGATAATTGTTTCGGAGGCTGGCTATGGTTGTAAGCATGGAGGAGGAGCAGAGTAGGATACCAAACTGGTAATTAATTAATCAATCAATTAATCAATTTATAAATCATCTAAAAATAATCTTTAATCTTGAGAATATTGAAAACTTTGGGAACAAAATTTTCCAAAAAGTAATTTGTCTTTTCTAATTACAACAATATTATATTAACATTCTGCAGAGAAAAATAAACAGAATTACTTAATTTCTTCTTCTAAATTAAGTAATAACTCTAACATTGTGTTCGTAATATAGATTAAATGTTTATTAAAATTACTAACAGAATGCTAGGGAATTTAAAATTTTTAGTATATCTCTAACATTTTATTAAAAATATGAACAAATTGTGAAGGAAGAGGTTTTTATAAACTTAAAAATATTCAATTTACAATGCAAAAAATTATATTATATGGTTGGTGGAAAGGGGTCCAATGAAGGACTGATACCTGTCAACACTTCAAATTTGCCCCAGTCTCATTAACTAATACTGTGTAAATTGTTGTGTTTTGCAAACATGTACTCTTCGCTTTAACCTAATTAGAGAACAAAGTGGCAACAAAAAAAAATATTTCTGGTAACATTGAAAAACAAAGATTTTCAATAACTCACTTTTTAATTATTTTTTTTATAATTGTTAGAATTTCAAAAATGTTTGCAACGTATTTTTATTCTTATATTATGCACCTAACCTAACCGAATTTTTATTCTTATATTATGCACCTAACCTAACCGAACTTTTATTCTTATATTATGCACCTAACCTAACCGAACTTTTATTCTTATATTATGCACCTAATCTAACCGAACTTTTATTCTTATATTATGCACCTAACCTAACCGAACTTTTATTCTTATATTATGCACCTAATCTAACCGAACTTTTATTCTTATATTATGCACCTAATCTAACCGAACTTTTATTCTTATATTATGCACCTAATCTAAACTAAAGAGATGTAAAGGGAGGATGTTAGGGTATCGAAAAAGATGTATAAAGGGAGGGGTGTTTGGGTGATGAAAGAGATGTAAAGGGAGGGGTGTTTGGGTGATGAAAGAGATGTAAAGGGAGGGGTGTTAGGGTGACGAAAGAGATGTAAAGGGATGGGGTTAGGGTGATGAAAGAGATGTAAAGGGAGGGTGTTTGGATGACGAAAGAGATGTAAAGGGAGGGGTGTTAGGGTGACGAAAGAGATATAAAGGGAGGGGGTGACGAAAGAGATGTAAAGGGAGGGGGTTAGGGTGTCGAAAGAGATGTAAAGGGAGGGGGTTAGGGTGTCGAAAGAGATGTAAAGGGAGGGGGTTAGGGTGTCGAAAGAGATGTAAAGGGATGGGGTTAGGGTGTCGAAAGAGATGTAAAGGGATGGGGTCTGTGTCGACAAATTTTACACAATAGCTTTCTTATCTAGGATTTTACTTCAGGACCACATCTCATCTATTACGCATTTTTCGTTGTTTCTATCATATGTGACGCGTGCAGTGCCACAAAAAAAATCAAAGCGTATATTCTTTCTTTCTTATCTCATACTTTTTTGTTACAGCCACTTCTTTGTGTATAAAGTTAAAAAATAAAAATGTTGAGTTTTTTGGCCCGGATGGGTTAGATAAAATATTTTTGATGAAACTGGAAAATTAATACTATTGAGACCTATTCTTCTTTAAATGCTCTAAGTTTAACATAACAAATAATTATGTAATACCATGCATTATGAAGAGTTAAAAGCTTTAACACGATTATTTCTAACTTTAGTTTTAAAGAAGTAATTGGCAATTGATATTTGCGACAGAAAGCATGCATATTTTAGTTTAATGAGAAATTGTTTAATCCATCACTAGCTTTCAATAATTTTAAATCAACGAGTAGATACTCCAAGACAACTCTGTCGCCATCATCATCAACAATTTTAAAAAAACTGTTGATATTGAATATAATAGTACATATGTATTTTGTTCCTGTGCAGAGTATCCCCATAAACATTCATGTATTTTGTGACAAATTCGAAATGTTATTTGGAAAGAATTAGCATCGGGTAATCTGATTTTAAAATTCAATATGTTGGAGTGCATTTTTATAGTAAAAGGCTGTTTTATATTGGGACACCTTTAAATATGTATTGATATATTGGGACACCTTTATATATGTATTGATATATATTGGGACACATTTACATATGATTAGATATATAAACAGTAGAATTTACATTGGGATACCTTTACATATGTATAGATGTATTGGGACACCTTTACATTAGTATAGATATTTTGGGAAACCTTTACATATATAGTAAAGATATATTGGGACACTTTTACATATGTATAGATGTATTGGGACACATTTACATATGTATATATATATTGGGACGCCTTTACATATGTATTGATATATTGGGACACCTTTACATATGTATAGATTTATTGGGACAACTTTACGTATGTATTGATACATTGGGATAATTTTACATATTTATAGATATATATTGGGACACCTTTACATATTTATAGATATATTGGGACACCTTTACATATGTATTGATATATTGGGACACTTTTACATATGTATAGATATATTGGTACCCATTTACATATTTATAGATATATTGGAACACCTTTACATATGTATAGATATTTTGGGACACCTTTACATATGTATAGATATATAAACAGTAAAATCTAGATTAGGTTTTCTACTCTAGTAATACCGCAGTAATAGAACCTGAAATGAGGATATTAATTTTACAGTTGTCCACTAAAGGACAACTTTCTATCTATCTATCTATCTATCTATCTATCTATCTATATATCCATCTATCTATCTATCTAAATATCTATATTTCTATATATCTATATATCTATCTAACTTTCTGAGTAACTCTCCGTCTTACCATATACTCAAGCTGGCTGGTTTTTTTAAACAGAATTCACCATAAAACATAAAAGAAAACAAAGAAAACAATCTAATGTTCGTGCTAAATCTAAACAAACATTCAACAACAAACAACAAACAACAAACAACAAACAACAAACAACAAACAACAAACAACAAACAACAAACAACAAACAACAAACGAACAACAAAAAACAAACAACAATCAACAAACAACAAACAACATCCGACAAATAACAAACAACAGACAACCAACAACAAACAACAAACAACAAACAATAAACCTGAAACAACAAACAACAAACAACAAACAACAAGCAACAAACAACAAACAACAAACAACAAACAACAAAAAACAAACAACAAACAACAAACAACAAACAACAAACAACAAACAACAAACAATAAACAATAAACAAAAAACAACAAACAACAAACAACAAACAAGAAACAACAAACAACAAACAATAAACAATAAACAAAAAACAACAAACAACATTCAACAAACAACAAACAGTTCCTGACGTCATGGATCCAGATGCTAAAAGTATATATAAACAAGATGACAAAGAAACCAAACAACTTTATACTAGAGCAAGAAAATCAGGTTTGAATATATATAGCGACTAATTAGCACACCTATCTATTTATCTATCTATCTATCTAACTAACCATCTATCTATCTATTTATCTATCCATAAATCGTTGTCTATTAATATCTATCTATTTATCTATCTTGCATTCTGACCAATCAACATGTTATCCCAGTCTCAAGTAACCAGTCCTATAAACTACAGCGTAATCAATTCCTGAGGAGATTTCAACTCCGATTTTCAAGTTTTAACATACCAGTGAATAAACTGTTTATTCTCAGCTGAATTGATAAAACAGCTGAAGGTTATTATTAGTGCATTGGAATGTACTTTTGGGCATACTCATGTCTTAGTTGTATCTGCTGATAGCTGATACAATAACTGATTCAGGTGATACTGGCTGATAACGAAGTTGTAGGCTAAAATATTGTGCACATATGCACAGATAAATATCCCAGATAGGCAGACCGCGTATCATTTCATTTCAACTTTTTATCAACATAAATATCCAATTTCACATCATTATCTCTGCACACTTATATTCTCAAATTCTAAAACTTTTTACGGGTTGAAAAATGGAATTGAGCAATTTCAATTCACAAACGCAACCCACTACATGCAGTTTTTAGATTTAATCTATTGGTTTATAAATTTAACATAGATTTTTTTCACTGTCAAGATATCTAGACGTATTCATTCATATCGTTTATACAATATATTTTTCTATCTATCTTTTTCTCGTTCTAATTAATAATATATCAATATTATTAATTTGTCCAGGCGCTTTGCGTTCAGTATTAGTAATAATTTTAGATTTTCTAATTTCGCATTTAAGACCAAAAAACTATTTTCTTAGCTTTTTCTTCTTTGGTAGATTTTAAAGAACTACTTCATTTGAGACATAATTTTAGTATTTCGACAAAAAAAATTCTGCCATTTTGACGATCATATGATTCAAATAAACAGCCAAGAATATTTTAGATCACATAGATATTATTTCTGGTATTATTACTTTACGAGTATCCAAAATAACAAAATGGTTTTAAAAAATGAGAATGCTCTAAGAGAAATATCATACTTTCGTTCATTATGCTTTTTGGAAATTTGGAAACAAGCTGAGCTGACTTATAGATTAAAACAATCATAATTTTACATGTTTTCTAAAAAGATGAATTAATATTGAAATCAAATTGTTTTAGACATTCTTTGGAACTAAAAATATGGCAGAATAATTAGACTTTTAAGTGTTTCAATCTTTTGGGATTTTTACGGGATTTTCTTTTTAGTCGTTTCTTGTGTATTTCATGCAATCCTACCCGCACATAAATACAACTTTATAAACCTCTCCATATATTGGAATCCAACCCGCACATAAAAACAACTTTATAAACCTCTCCATATATTTGAATCCAACCCGCACATAAATACAACTTTATAAACCTCTCCATATATTGGAATCCAACCCGCACATAAATACAACTTTATAAACCTCTCCATATATTGGAATCCAACCCGCACATAAATACAACTTTATAAACCTATTGGAATCCAACCCGCACATAAATACAACTTTATAAACCTCTCCATATATTTGAATCCAACCCACACATAAATACAACTTTATAAACATCTCCATATATTGGAATAATATATTTATTGCCTCACATAGTTTCTTATCTATTGTAAAATCGACAGAAATAGAAAATTCCAGTAAGTTAAATTTATTCTTGTCATAAAAATGTTTTTAAACTCCCATATTGCTTGATAAATAGAGTAGTCCCTTTAAAATATTACTTCTAATGTCTTATATGTTGTTGTTCAGGTATCCCAGCGAGAGTACAGGTCTGCACCAGGAGGACCTGGAGAACTATTTCAAGGGGTCTTCAGGGGCAACTACAGTAGGAACAGGGGCTTCTGCAGTCTCAGGGGCACACTCATACTTTACACAGGGGCTTCAATCTGCTTATTCAGGGGTACAAGCAGGTAAAAGAATATTTATTTTACAATGTTTTTCAGGACACCAAAAGAATACAATTTAGGGGTAAAAATAAGGAACACAAATCAGGGGTACGGTATTCAAGGTGAGAGTAGGGAATAAGAATAAAGGGAAGGGAAATGGCGCTGGTCTGGCATGAGAAAGCCAGTCGCACTGATTTGCAGACGAGTTCGGTATTACACACACGCATACTCTTTTGGTACAGACACACAACATGACTACAGTCAAGGAATTTGCAGAAAAATGTCGTCAATTATAATTAAGCTTGGATAAACCATAGTTTATTGTAAACTTTAAGCAAATTATATTCTTTGCATGAAAATTTTGCTTTCAAGTGTTGACTTAAATATGTAAATAATATATTGTATCTTAAACTTATATTTAAGTAAACAATTAACAATAAACAAATGTACTCTCCTAGACTTTACAAATACCGAGATTCTTATGTACTGTATATACCTACAGTACACGCCTTCTGTTCGGTACTCCTTACACACACTCTTTTGGTACAGACACACACACATGACGTGTCCTCCCCCTGTAAAATAGGGGAGCAATACAATTTTTTGTGAGGGCACCAAGAAATAAGAATACAAATTGACCATTGAACAATTATAAAATAAGGCAACTCTGGCAGAATATGACTATAAAGTTCTGAATAGTCCTTTAAATAGTCCTTTAAATAGTCCTTTAAATAGTCCTTTAAATAGTCCTTTAAATAGTCCTTTAAATAGTCCTTTAAATAGTCCTTTAAAATACGAAAAAGTTTCTTTATATTTTAGAAAGCCAATAAAACGTTTAAATTCACGCTTTGTCACACTAAAGATATAAAAGATCCAAGACTATATTCAAAAGTCTCCTGTCTAGCGGTACACCCTGTATTAAGATGAAACTATGCTGTATGTATATGATGAATCTAGCAGTTTATAGAACCCAGGGGGGTTGGACAAATAGACATCATTTAGATAGATGATAAGATAGATTGCAACATATACACATAGATAGATAAATATTAAATATATACAGTGGTCACCAAAATAATGTGAAAGATAATAATGCCTTACAGGAAAAAATATCATTTATGGAAATTAATTGAATGTAAAAAGGCATCAATTAAAGTATTTATTGAGACCCCGAAAACGGTGAAGTAGGAATACAGCTGTTTGACACAAATTATGAATTTGAATGGTCCAATGAAATAATGACATTTAATAAAACCTACTTGTAAATATAAGCACTGCAGTCACCTATATTGTTAATGTAAAAACAAATTTAAACCCAAACATTCGAATCCCTATATATTTCCAACCTGATGGTGTAAACCATTTATATCGAACTTAGGTTATTTGATCTCACATACAGTTTTCTTGTTTAAAATATAGAAGGTCCATTGCATTTGGTTCCAAAGATATGGGCAGTAAGATGTTTATTTACAAGCTGTTAATCTGAGAGGTATCTCAAATTTTAAATCTAAGAACTGAAGTGTCCTAAACTGTTAATCTAAAAAACGTTCTGAACTTTAATCTAAGAAGCGTCCTGAACTTTGATCTAAAAAGCGTTCTGAACTTTAATCTAAGAAGCGTCCTTAATTGTTAATCTAAAACGCATCCTGAACTTTAATCTAAGAAGCGTCCTGAACTTTAATCTAAGAAGCGTCCTAAAATGTTAATCTAATAAGCCTCTTAATCTGTTAAGCTAAGAAGTGTCCAGAACTGTTAATCTAAGAAACGTCCTGAAATGTTAATCTGAGAAGTGTCCTAAACTGTTAATCTAAAACGCATCCTGAACTTTAATCTAAGAAGTGTCCTAAACTGTTAATCTAAGTAGCGTCCTGAAATGTTGATCTAAGAAGTGTCCTAAACTGTTAATCTAAAACGCATCCTGAACTTTAATCTAAGAAGTGTCCTAAACTGTTAATCTAAGTAGCGTCCTGAAATGTTAATCTAAGAAGAGTCCTGAAATGTTTATCTAAAACATATCCTGAACTTTTCATCTAAAACGCGTCCTGAACAATTCTGAACTATTAATCTAAACTTGCATCTGAACTGTTAATCTATGAAGTGTCCTGAACTGTTAATCTAAAAACCGACCGGAACTTTTCCTAAACTTTTAATCTAAAAAGCGTCCTGAACTGTTTATCTAAAAAGCGTCCTGAACTGGTAATCTAAAAGCGTCCTGAACTGTTAATCTCAAAAGCGTCCTGAGCTGTTAATCTCAAAAGAGTCCTGACTGTTAATCTCAAAAGCGTCCTGAACTGTTAATCTAAAAAGAGTCCTGAACTGTTTATTATGGTTGTACTAACTGCTATTCTACTGTTTGATTCTAACCAAGATTAGAACCCAAAAAAGTTGAGGTAGCAGAAAACCAAGATATGTCTATCTATCCTGCTATCTACCTGTCCATCTATTTATCTATCTATCTATCCTGCTATCTATCTACCTATCCATCTATTCATCTATCTATCTATCTATACATCTATTTATCTATTTATCTATCCTACTATCTTTCTATCCATCTATTTATCTTTATATCTATCCTGCTATCTATCTACATATACATCTATTCATATATCTCTCTATCTATACATCTATTTATCTATTTATCTATCCTACTATCTTCCTATCCATATATTCATCTATCTATCTACCTATCCATCTATTCATCTATCTATCTACCTATCCATTTATTTATCTATTTATCTATCTATCTATCTATCTATCTATTTATCAATCCTACTATCTTCCTATCCATCTATTTATCTATCTATCTATCTATACATCTATTTATCTATTTATCTATCCTACTATCATCCTATTCATCTATCTATCAATCTATCTTTCTATCTATCCTCTATCCAGCTGTCCACTATCTTTTGTCCGACCTTTTTAGAATATATTACTTCTCATATTGATACTGCCAACCTTTCTAAATACTAAGGTCCAAGCACTACTCCAAATAAAAGGGGGTTCAAGCTGGAGGGGGGAAAGGAGGAAGGAAGGAGGGGGAGAGGTGAAGGAGGAGGGGCTTTGAAGAGGGGGTTTAGAGAATAATAAGAAATAAAAGAATACAGGGCTTATAAAGAAATTGAGTTTTTGCAACAAACTCTGATACCGATATCTTAGCAACCTAACGGAGTAAACCTTTTATTTGATTTAATAGAATTCATATTATGAAATATATAAGGTCTACATCATTGGGTTGCAAAGATAAAGGGATTTGAAAATCAGATTTTGTATTTAAGATTCAATATCCTAAATAAATTATATCTGCAAGTTAATAAACATGATAAAAATATCTTTAAAAAATGCTTATATGTTGCTGTTTTAGGACGAGATAATCAATTAAGAACATCTTTCTACTCTCCACTCAACTCTATGTGGCATTCCGCCTTAGGTAATAAAATCTTAAAATTCAACAATATTCAGCATTAGGTAATAAAATCTTTATATTCACCAATATTCAGCTTTAGGTAATACAATCTTAATATTCAACAATATTCAGCTTTAGGTAATAAAATCTTAATATTCAACAATATTCAGCATTAGGTAATAAAATCTTAATATTCAACAATATTCAGCATTAGGTAATAAAATCTTAATATTTTACATTATTCAGCATTAGGTAATAAAATCTTAATATTCAACAATATTCAGCATTAGGTAATAAAATCTTAATATTCAACAATTTCAAAAGCCTAAAGTACTTTGCATGATAGAGTATCATTTTTTCAAATTAATGCGACCAATTTTTTCTTCTCAAGATTGAAATAGCAGTTTTTTGCCATCTTTTGTTAATATTCATACCAAGACACCCAACCACAACAAATCAAGGACATGTGAAAGAGAGATATGAAAGATTCAAATGCATAATTGCATCATTTGATATTTGTAATAGCAGACATTTTTTGTCTGATTGACAAAAACAAAACAAAAAATTAGATTTTTAAATGTTTTTGTATTTATTCATGGAGTTTTAACCCTATTCCTGCTGGGGGGGGGGTCAATTTGACCCCCCCCCCCCCTGTAAAATTTCAGGCAGTACCCAGTAAGCGAGGCAGTTGACCTACGGTTTTAATTCAATATGTCTGATTATTATTCAGGAAAATACTTAATATTTGATGACTCTAATATTTACCTTTCAAAAGTTATTATAAAGAAAAACAATAAAAAATAACAATAAAAAACCCTTATTTTAATATTAATACATATGCGCACAATGCACATAGTCATTTTTATAACGCACATACATCGCTTTTCATACTTCATTTTTACTGCCCATTTAGAAGCACAGACATGTTTTTTCCGCTAATCCAGATTATCTTGAATACACTTTAATTTTCAAAAGACAGAATGGATAATGGATTTTGTTGGGGCCTTGAGGCCTTAGCTCCTGCAATAAAAATCTTAGCCTTGGGAAATTTCAATAGGAAATCATACCTCTTTTTTAATCATAAGAAGACAAAATATGAATAAACTTATTTTTATTAAATCTTTAGAAATATATATTTTACGTAAGATTGCTTCTCACGTGACAACTGAGATGAGATTTTAAAAGCTTAAACCCGAGTAAAACCTGGTCTTTGCGTCTGAAAGATTCAAATGCATAATTGCATCCTTTGATATTTATAATAGCGCAGACATTTTTTGTATGAAATAATAAAAAATTAGATCTTTAAATGTGTTTGTATTTCTTCGTTAAGCTATAAGGAGTTTAGGAGTTTTGAAGTTTTCCAATGTTGAAGTGTTGATCAGTGTTGAAGTGTTGAAGTGTTGAAGTGTTCCAGTTTTGGAGTCAATAAAATAATTAATAATATCTTATGTCTGGTTATTTCCTGAAATTGCACTTGATATTAAAGACTAAAAAATTTGATTCGTCCCTAGTCCTGGGTGCTTACAAGGCAATTTAGATTACGGTTCTAACTGTTAAAATCAAGCGCCGCATTTTCTGGAATGATACTCTATCCTTTAAATATGTGTATAGATGTAAGGTACTTTCCCATACAGCATTTAACTTCTCATTTTACAAAATATACTTTAAATATGTGTATAGATGTAAGGTACTTTCCCATACAGCATTTAACTTCTCATTTTACAAAATATACTTTAAACTTTTTAAATGTCCATAATTTCATAAAATAAGGAGAATAGCTAGGTTATGTTCATATTTTGAAATAATGATAGTGTGTGAGTTAACAACTTGGGAACTAATTGAGATGTACTCAAAAACAAGAATATATTTAAATGTAGGAATTGACAGTTTTTTCTTATTTACAAAAAAACTTATTTGTTTTTCTAACATTACACAAATACTGTAAAAAAGTTGCTCTATTTCATAATTATTTTTATTAATATCTAGCACATAACTGTTATTTTAGGGAAATGCCATTTGAGAATAAGTTTAAAGTTGATGTTTACAGGTCCATTGGTAAAGGAGCTAACACTGTTGTTTATTTAGGTTCGACCAGTAAACCGTACTGTTTGGAACCTAAAGTAGTTTACTCCTCTTCTGGTCAAACCTCCAACCTACCCGGCTTCTACTCAGCCTACCCTCCAACCCCTCCTAAGGACACCGTATCCGATGATCCTGGCCGTCCCTCCAACTCTGAGGACTACCTCCAATCCTCCGTCCCCTCCGTATCCTCCAACTCCGAGGATCTGATGAGCTCGGAGTTAAAACCGAACCCTGAATCCTTGATGTTTCCATCCTTTCCGTATACCAGCAGGAAGCTTCAAGAAGGTAGTAATGTTACCAACACAAACTTTACTGATCAGGCAGTTTCCCCAGGGGGAACTGCTACCTATGCTTATTTCCCCCCTGGGGAATCATCTCTATATGGGGGATATTCCCCAACCTCTTCTGTTTTTAACAAAGGTCTGCAGTGTTCAAGGCAGCGTGCTAAAGTTCGATCAAATACTGGTAAGAGAAGAGAAGGTGCATGGTATAGTTGGTGGAGGGCGACACAATGCACAATGCACAATTATAATGTGTGGTGTATTAGTTGATGGAGGGTGGCACACTGCACAAGTATAATGTATGGTGTATGGTGAACTTGGTGAAGGGTGGCACAATGCACAAGTATAATGTGTGGTGCATGGTTTAGTTGATGGAGGGTGGCACAATGCACAATGCACAAGTATAATGTGTGGTGCATGGTATAGTTGTTCGATGGTGACACAATGCACATGCAAAATGTGTGTTGCATGGTATAGTTGTTGTTCGATGGTGACACAATGCACAATGCACATGCATAATGTGTGTTGCATGGTAAAGTTGTACGATGGTGACACACTGCATAAGTATAATGTGTGGTTCCTTGTATAGTTGGTGGAGGGTAGCACACTGCACCGCACATACAGTTGGGGTTGGATGCACGATTGCACATTTTTAAATTTAATGATGATTCCACAATCAAAGGTTGCAAGTTGTAGGTTGTACACATTCCACAGTAACTGGTTGCACTAGATGGTAAAGGTCCAAAACCATTTTAATAAGAATAAAAAGGAAGAGAAAAAACGATTAAGGAAAGAGCAAGAAAAGAACAAGAAAATAAGAAAGAAAGAACAGGGAAGGAGAAAGAATATAACAAAGAAAGACCAAGGAAACGAGTAAGAAAAGAACAAGAAAATAACAAAAAAAAAAGGAAAGAGCAAGGAAAGAGCAAGGAAAGAGCAAGAAAAGAACAAGAAAATAACAAAGAAAGAGCAAGGAAAGAGCAAGGAAAGAGCAAGGAAAGGTCAAGAAAATAACGAGAAAGAGCAAAGAAAGAGCAAGGAAAGAGCAAGGAAAGTGCAAGAAAAGAGCAAGATGTTGGCCTAATCAAAAAATGTTGTACTAAAGATTTATAACAATCCAAGTTTAAAATTGTAATGAAAGTATTGAATTGTAACCTCTTTAATTGACAAATAATTAGACCTTTCATACCCAAATATATTTACAGTGTGTATAGTTAAATACCTTTGATGGACCAGTAAGGTCAACCACTCAGTTGACATTGGTTATATTTGGTAGATTTTCATTCTTACAGGAATTTTAGGGCTTGAAGGTTTCAATGTTTTTTTTTATTTTTGGAACATTTCAAATGTTGACAAATGTTGAGTTTTAAAAAAATTGGTAATGATTTGATAATGCTGGAAGATTTTTTCTATCAGAAGTTTGATAATCCTGGAAGATGTTTTTTTCTATCAGGAGTTTGATAATGCTGGAAGATTTTTTCTATCAGGAGTTTGATAATGCTGGAAGATATTTTCTATCAGGAGTTTGATAATGCTGGAAGCTATTTTCTATCAGTAGTTTGATATGCTGGAAGATTTTTTCTATCAGGAGTTTGATAATGCTGGAAGATATTTTCTATCAGGAGTTTGATAATGCTGGAAGCTATTTTCTATCAGTAGTTTGATAATGCTGGAAGATATTTTCTGTCAGGAGTTTGATAATGCTGGAAGATATTTTCTATCAGGAGTTTGATAATGCTGGAAGATTTTTTCTATCAGGAGTTTGATAATGCTGAAAGATTTTTTCTATCAGGAGTTTGATAATGCTGGAAGATATTTTCTGTCAGGAGTTTGATAATGCTGGAAGATATTTGATGAAATAAGATTTTTATATGCTAGAAGATGTTCACTGTTGGAAGAATTTTTCGATTCTGTCAATCATTTCAGATGAAATATTACCATTTATATTTTATATTTTATGCTGTCATGGTGTTTTTCAATGTTGATAGATATAATAAATATATCTAAAATTCTGGAAACATGAATGCACGCCTAACCAGGTAACCGCATGCCAGAAAGTGTTCCAGCATGCCAATAGCATCCTGGAACTGCAGAAACTTATGTTTTGCAATCTCTCCCAATTTTGCATGAATGGCGGAGCGTAGCATAAATTACACAGAACTGCATGTTTATTGCAAATTCTAAATATTTCATCTCATTATTTCACTGCAAAAAATCATCGGTAAAACTGTGCAAAAATTCCACTGCCCAAACAAGTTCTACTTTTAAAATGGTTGCAAATAATATGAGATTGCAATAACTCATTGGTTTGCAACTTTGCAATCTAAAAATAATCACACAATGCACACATATAATAGTAGATCTATCTTAGATCAACAAATACAAAATATTGTTTTTCAGAGGGTAGAGAGTGTGTGAACTGTGGTGCAACATCTACTCCGTTATGGAGACGGGATGGAAATGGTCACTATCTCTGCAATGCCTGCGGTCTTTATTACAAAATGAATGGACAGAACAGACCTCTTATCAAGCCCAAAAGAAGATTGGTATGTAGATGAATTTATCTTAAAACAATTGTTTGAAATTTTAGGTTTAAAATTTGACAAAAAGTTAATTGACCGAGTTAATTAATTTTAATTGCCTTAATTTATAAATTTGAAGATTTATGCTGCGTCTTGACAAGTCACGGTTGCCTAGCCAAGAACAGGATTTACCTTACTTACTTTCGAATAAAAATATTTAATTTACCGACATTTTAGAGATTTGATTTTAAAATGATTCGATTCATAGCATTATTCTTAAAAACTTTTTTCGGATCATGGATGACTAAGAAATCCTTATTTTTCCACTATAAATGTATTCAGTTAAATTACTGTTTTTCTACGAAAGCGACTTGTGGAATTATGCGGGAGAAAAAGAATTTACAAAATTCAATACTTTTTTTAAAATTTAAAAGACCGGATTATTCAACTGACCTTCCAGAGCAATGCAAGTTTTGTCTGATCAAGTATGAATTAAATTTTCATGAATTTTTTATTAAATGTGTTTTTTCATTTGTGGTTTCTTTGCAAAAGTGAATTTTGTATTTCTTGCGTACAATAAACAATGGAGACATTCGCAGAAATAACCACTTTTCGAGTGAGAAAAGCGACGTTATCTTTTCAATTTTGATCAGATTAAAGTTTCAAGGGTTCCATTGTAAATCGGGCATCGCCATCTTTGATTAGGGACTCACTTAAGCTTAAGCTTACAGTGCCTTTAAATATGTTTTTTTTCAGTCCTCTTCCCGACGGGAAGGAACAAGTTGTGCAAACTGTAAAACAACCGCTACAACTCTATGGAGAAGGAATCAGAACGGTGAACCTGTCTGTAATGCCTGTGGTCTATACTTCAAACTACATAATGTAAGTTGACGTAAAAATAAATACCTTTCTGTCGGATGCCATTGATATCATTAGCAGAGGACCTTTGTTACCAAGGTTGTATAATAAGGTTGCTTACTCTCGATGACCTCCAAAATATGACGTCACTCTCTCCTATATAATCAGTGACGTTAAATGAGGTTTTTTTAAATCTACCTTAGGAGACGACATTTTCCGTACATTGGAGCACATATCGAGAGTAACCTAATTTACTATACAACCTTGGATGACATTTTCAACAGAGGAACTTTTTTTACAAACATTAATGTTTCAATATCATGTTCCATTCCCTTGCAAACAATATAAAAATGTTTTATCATTCAACTAAACAGCCCATGTCATTGTACTGCAGTCTGACAGCTATACTTGCTTAAAAGAAATGTCTTCTCATCATATTATTGTTAATAAAAGATTGCAAAATTTTATCAACAAAACAAAGGATTTCCCCTAAAGATATTGCCTCTGAAACATATAAATGTAAAGTCTGCAGTGCGCAGATATATCTCAGTATGTTTCTGCAAATAGTAAATAGTAACATGCATTTTTCTTTAACAAAATTGTATTTTTCAGGTGGCGCGACCCCTTACTATGAAAAAAGATGGAATTCAGACCAGAAATAGAAAACTGTCAGCAAAATCTAAAAAGAAACGTGGAACTGTAATGGATTTCTTTGCTTCTCCCTTTGATACCAAACCATTTGGATTCAGTTCCCATATGGGAGGAATGAGCGGCCATATTGGAAATCCAATGTCCAGCTATTATGGCGCCTCTATGTCCAGCATGGGCTTGGGCACAAACTTTGGTATGGGATCTATGTACACAGGACAAACCGGGGGTCATGGCATGTCCCCGATGTCGTCGATTTCTCAAATGCAAATGTCCGCAGCTGGACTTACAAGTTCAGGGGGTGGTATGTCTGGAGGTTTATCGCACATGTCCAATTATCCAACTAGCCCATCTCCTCTGTCCGCTGCAATGCAACATTCAGTCATAGGTGCTATGACCTAGGTCGACAAATGATCTTTTGATTTAGTGATAAACTTTATTAATAAAAAAGACCAATAATGTCCAGTGATTAGAAATAAAGTCTTAACCAGGAACTGGATGTCTGTACTAGTAAAAAGTTCTTGAATGCCAGTCAAATCATTCTAAATGCAAATTCGCAGATTTCCAAAGTTTAAATTTTGCCGCCATACTTTCCCAGTTTTCTGTGAAAAGGATTTTAACATGCAATCCTCTCATTGAGCGAGTTTATGCAATAACTCCATGAAATAATTCACTTTTACCATATAATGAGAATTTCAAATGAAACTTCTTCATTCCCCTGCAGTCTTGTTACATGTTCCTAAGTTATTCAAAGGTTTTTGTATTTATTAAAAAAAGTTTAACAGTTCCTTAAGTTTGTACAATGTCACGAAAAGAGCTTATTTAATTAATGATATACGTAATAAAGCCTAAAAGTGAGTTGAAATTAACCTAAAAATAATGCAATGTTCAAACTGATTTTCATAAAATATCATCAAAAAAGCAAACGTACACATATAAAATTTTAACTTGGTTTAAAAACTTAAGAATTTTAAAATTATAATTTCAATCCTATGTTTAACAAGCAGAATTTTTATTTAGTAATTAATCTAACTTTCTTAGTTCGAATTTGTCTATTCTTTCTTAAAATTTTTATTTTAGTATGTTTGCCTTTAAATATTTAATTATGAAGATCGGTGTACAATATAATATTAAATGCACACACAAATATACGTAAATAATTAAAACAATTGATGATTTTATCAATAATTGCATTTTAAAATTGTATCCTAAATTAGCTATATATGTAATTAAGAACTGTGAATAAATTAAGAATGTCCTTTTTTAGTTTATAAAGAAGTTCTAATGAAAATATAGAATGAAAATGGTCCAGAGGGGAGGGGGGGCTTCAAAACAGTTTTTAGCTTCACAATAGCTTTACAATAATGAGGAGTTTGGAGTTGAAGAAAATTCAATATTATGTGTAATTCAGCTTTTTAAGTGGTATCAAGGATGATTAAACAGGTTTATGTATTGGTTATTCAATATTTGACTGCAATTCATGATATTTACCAATAATCTATCCTTATCTACAGGGTGTCCCAATAAACATGGGAATTCAGTGACGAATTTGATATCGTCTTTGTTATGAATTAGCATTGTAATACCTAATTTCCAAAACCATGATATTATTAGGTCTGCTAGAGTTTATTTAAAGAAAACGGCGAATGGCTGTAAAGATGTGTCTATAATGTCTCTGCAAGATGAACAGTGAAGACGGACCAGTTTACCTTGTTTGTATACTTTAATTTTCTTGTTTTACTAAGTACACCCTTATGCAGTCAAAACAAAAACATACAATTTGTACACATTGCAGACGAAAATCTTACGGATTAGGCTTTCTCAGACGGTACCACTATACGAAATCAAAGAATAATTTAAAAAGACGATATCGGAATTCTTCACTGAATTCCCATGTTTATTGGGACGTTCAAAATGAGTCAAAATATATTCTAACGTGAAATATTCCTTTTTCCGATGAAGATTATAAATGTCGTCGTTGTTGTGGACATTTTTAAACTGTGCAAATTGTTGCTGTAATTTGAAATAGCAACTTCTTGTACAGGGTTGCCCACAACGGATGAAATTTTAGTGACGACTGCAGGGAATTTATTAAGTTCTTTTTACATCCATGCTTTCCTGCATTTGAAAACTAAAGCTTTCTTAATTATAAACCCATTCAGTAAACCATTATAAGACTGCATTGAAGACATAAGTTTAAATCTAACATTCAGATTCTGTCATATTAGAAGATTTTTGAGTGGTATTTTTAATCTCATCCTTTATGAGTAACCCTGTACAATTTTAATCAAAGTCGCAAAAACGGTTTTTTTTATGTTTAATTCTACACCAGCACAACCGTCAATCATTAATCAATATTATTTTATTTTGATTTGACAAACTGCAGTATCAATCATCAATAATGTATTAATACAAATCTATAAATGTACAATTTAAAATGTTTTGCTGGTGAAATATTTCACATGTTTGATTGACTCTAAACATGAGTTGTTTTACATGTTTAATATATCCTGGTTTTGGAAGCTCAACAACGCCAGGAACAGGAGCGTATGGAGGGTCCCTGCAATTAAACACAGTACAGTGCATGAGAACCAGTAAACAATAGAATAAAAAAACTACAGTATACAGCGATAACCAGTAAAATTGTAGAATAGAAGGAAGACACTGAAGACAATACTGAAGTGCATTTAACGTTGTTAGCGATATAAATTGACACTTAATAAATCACTAATTTAGTGAAATCCCAAATAGAAAATAGTTTTCTTCTTCATTGTTTTCTTTTGTATGGTCAGAACTCTTTTTCATCCGCAGATGTCTTTTTGTGGAGCTCTGTCATCGGACGATTAAAAACTGTGCAGTAAATATGCTGCTGATTTAACACATTTTTGTATTTATGCAGAATTAAAATCATCCGTTTGTGGGAGATTAAAAAACCACTGTTTAAGACCTTTTTTTCTACAGGTGTCGGTAAAAAGATCGGTTCAACCGACTTGTTTATGCTACCAATCTCCGATAGTGTTCCAACGGAGCAGAACAGAACGAGAAAGCGAAGCTATTTCATTCCTCAGATGGAATTCCTGTCAAAAATCGGAATTCCGATCAAAAACAATTTTCCAGCTAGGTTTACACTTTAACATTGCTAGCTCATTGAACTTTTAAAAGTTCTAACGGGATTCTAAAAGTCGTCTTCCTATTTCATAGTTGTATGGTTATCACTGTTTTAACCAATGTATAATGATATTTGACATGGCAAAAAATCCTGTATAGTATATAATTAGCGTCAGAAATAAATGTCGTCTTTTGACTGTCTTCTCTTAAAAAATGTTTCTAACTTGCAATTAGCTTTTGCAACTGATAAAGAACAGAAGTCGTTGCCACAAATCCTTTTTTTAAAATCCCTACATATATGCCATCTAAAGAGTTGTAGACCTTAGAATTTTAAACTAGAGAATTCTGTCAGATCAAATAATCTAAGTTTGAAAAATCAAAGGCTATCGCCCATCACGTTGTAAATTGAGAAAGGGATTAAAAAATTTGAGTTTGTAAGCAAAGATTTAATTCCTTTAGAATCAGAATACAGAGGAATATTTCTTCTTGCAAAAAAATCAATTAAAAAGTAAAATATGTTTGCAGTATAAAAATGAGGCAAAATTCGTATTTTCAGCCAAGAAATTCAAATTTAATCAAACGAATACCACAGACAATTAGAAAAATATTAAAATCATGCCTCTATTTTTAGTGTTGCAGCATACCATTGAAATCTAACAAAATTACTGACTCACTTATACGTTTTTACTAAAGACATATGTTCATTTTAAAATTCACTCATACGCAAATGCGTCTAACTTAAATTCTTAAAAGAGTTATTGGCAAAATGCTTTATAAAATTTGTGTTCCATATAAGAACAATGTTTGAACATGTTATAAACGTACTTCCTGTAATGTCGAACCACAACGTCATCAGATGGAAAAACAAAGGTATGAAAACCTGAAAAATGCAAATTTTGATAATTAACAAATTTATTTCAAGAGAAAAAGCTAAATTATGGAAAAATTCATTTAAAATTATGATTTTAAATTAAAGAAACTGATATTAGTAATCGTATTGATTTCTTACAATTTGCTACAGGGTTGTCCCACGAAACATGACAGTTGATGAATAGTGTAGCAGGAAAATGATGTTTTGATCTTTCCTGCGACTGTAAATAGCATTTTGTTTGTCATTTATTTTTACCCTTCGTTCGCACTCAACCCCATTTTGCCTCCCCCCCCACCTTTTACTGATATTTAACGGGTTTTCTTGTTTATGTTTGGTTTCTATATTTAACCCAAGCCACGCGGAGAAATCCGTTATCTCCGAACCCGGGAGCTGGGGAGCTGGCCGGCCAGCTCACAGGGCGTGGGGTAGAATGCGAACTAAGGGTGGAGCGAAATAGAGGGAAAAAAGGCAGTTGTGATTCAGCTCCCTTGAATTAAGGTTCCCTTGAAGAATTCCCCTATTTGATGAAACTGATTTGATTCATAATATTTAGTTTGTATAAGTATCGTTCGATTTAAAGTTTGTATTTTTGCATCTTTTGTATATAAATATATTGTAAGAAAAACCGACTCGTTGAATATTTGAGAAACTCAGTGCATTGCTTTATTGATTTTTATTCATATACTATAATAGTTTTGAATGTCTTCTTCTATAATTTCCATAATAAGTGATTTGATACACTGCAGTCATATTTTCGTAAAATTGATTTCAAAGTTAAAAAATATTTGAGTAAAAGATTTTTTCAACGAAATAAACTGAAAAAAGTGTTTAATATCCAATAAAGTATCTGGAAGAAGACATTCAAAACTATTCACAAACTGTCATATTTCGTGGGACACCCTGTATGTCAAACATAAATAATGTTCAGGCCAATTAGTCAATGATTTAGACATTAATAGTTTGAAAATTAGGTTGCAAAGAAAAGGAATTAGAAAGCTTGAGTTTGAAGCAGGTTCTATAGTTCCTTTATTTCAGAATATTTTCCTGGCACTGTTTAAATTTTACCTTCAAGAATACTCAAAGCATAATGAACTGTAAGCTGGTGTACAAAACTAGGACGTATTATAAACTTACTCCGAATCCCATACTTCCATTCACTACAAATCAGCTAGCTTAAGAAATTCATAATTTTTAACATGTGTTTTTTGAAAATAATTACAAATTCAGGATTATACAGTATCAAAGTTAAAGGTAAAGCCATATAAGAGAATTTTGTATTTAGAAAGAATACAACAAATTCCGTAATAATGTAACCCTAAGCGGGCAGAAGGATGGTTTTTTTTTATAGACATATGCTAATAAGGAGAGAATTGTTATTCTATTTATAGAATCACGCCAAGCTTTGCTACCGACGGCGTCCTTAAGTTAGGGATGGCATGGGTTCATTGAACTGAATCGGGAAGACAGGAGAGGAGGCTAGGAATGGCGGTCGAGTACAAGCTCTCGAGGATCACTGTGGAGGCAGAGCTGTTCGTAATCATGATGATTTCGCGAAATTGGCTGCGGTGTCATATAAATCTTTATCTTAGTAACAAAGAGTGAGATATCGTCGTTTTTAAAACGTTTTAAATTTATTTACAACAAAAATCCAGAATTTTTGGATAGAAAAAGCTTTGCAGAGAACCGTCATGAATTTATCTATGTAAAATTCCTTGAAATTATTTCATTAGATGTCGTCATTATTTCCGTGTTAATTGGGACAGACTGTTCAATATACCTCGTATCTTGCTTCAAGTGCAATGCCTCCTGGAGTTCAGGGATACTAGTATTTCCAAAATATTTCCTTAATATTAAATATTATATAGATATTAATACAGTAGTCTAGCTGCATATTAGATATTATAATACAGTAGTCTAACTGCATATTAGATATTAATACAGTAGTCTAGCTGCATATTAGATATTAATACAACGTAGTCTAGCTGCATATTAGATATTAATACAGTAGTCTAGCTGCATATTAGATATTCATACAGTAGTCTAGCTGCATATTAGATATTAATACAGTAGTCTAGCTGCATATTAGATATTAATACAGTACTCTAGCTACATATTAGATATTAATACAATAGTCTAGCTGCTTATTAGATATTAATACAGTACTCTAGCTGCATATTAGATATTAATACAGTAGTCTAGCTGCATATTAGATATTAATACAGTAGTCTAGCTGCATATGTTACTGAAACGGTGATATAATACAGTTTAATTATTTGGTATTTTATACATCGACAACACTTTATCACGTATCAATTCAGATCATACAGTCTTCTTCGTATATATCAATACAATGTAGACAACTTTGTAATTAAATTTAGATTTAGATTTTATTTTAATTGCAACAACATAGCCAAAATACAGATGGAAGCAAACAGAAGCTGTAAATTAACAGCTAATCTTTGTTTACAAGTAAACTTTGAATTGAATTGAAACTGGTTAGGCTAAATATGTTCTTAATCAGCCGCTTATTAAGCTGGTTAGACTAAATATGTTCTTAATCAGCAGCTTATTAAGCTGGTTAGACTATATATGTTCTTAATCAGCAGCTTATTAATCTGGTTAGACTAAATATGTTCTTAATCAGCAGCTTATTAAGCTGGTTAGACTAATTATGTTCTTAATCAGCAGCTTATTAATCTGGTTAGACTAATTATGTTCTTAATCAGCAGCTTACCTGATCTCTGAAATATCTGTCCTGGGACCACATTTAATGAATAGCGAGGAGTGACAACTTCCCAAATATACGGTTTACCAAACTGCAACTTCCCAAGCCTATCCTAGCCGCAGTGCTCGACTACCCAGACTTTACTAGCAATAGCGCTCGGCCCCTTAGCCCATCCTAGCCGCAGCGCTCGGGCCCTTTGCACCCTGCGACACCTCAGAAGGTCTAACCGAACCTTTGAGAAGTTGTCACTTGGGAAAATGTTCATTTGGGAAATTGACCTACCACCATTGAACTACATAGACCTAGTTGAATCCCTTCTTGAATCGGTGCACCAGAGGTTCAACTACTACTCGGTATATCAACTAATTCTCACTATTAATTAAATGTTCCTTGAGTCTAAGGAATAAAATCGATTCTCCACCCCATAATCTGATATGTTTTCTCCTAAAATATTATAGATACCAAAAACTGAAAGAAATTGCAAGAAAGACTAATATTGTTTTCAACAATAACTTGTTGTGAAGAAGAATAAAAAAGTTTTAAAGGGAATGACCGGCTATGTAAGGTAGTCAAACAGACTATGCAGTGTTGTGGAAAACTTCTTTCGGATCCAACCCCAAAGTAGGAGTTTTGAACGTCGAATTTGCGCTCAAACTCATGATTTACAGATCTGTATAAAGTTTTATATGTCTCAAATGAATCCGAAAGAAGTTTTCCACAACACTGTATACTCAGTTCAACCACCTTACATAGCCGGTCTGTCCCTTTAAGAAGAACAAAAAAGTTTTAAATTTCTAATATGTCCATGAACAAATAGATTGGTGCTTCTCATACTATGGCGTAAAATCAAGACTAGAGGTGCTACGAGGTTACAATTAGTTATACATGTATTGTCGTCTAAATTTGACCATCTCCTTTTGTCTACTTTGCAGTGTATGAAAATGTGCATGGTTTTTCAGGTCGTTTTATAAATTTGAAGTTTGAATTATTCATGGTAAAAGGCTCCATGTGTATTTTTCTTTGATCTTGGGTTCTCTTTCAAAGCATATACATATAGATAATTTCTAAACGAAAACCAAAAACAATTTTAAAAATTTCCAAAAAAGTATCCAGGCATTAAGGAAAATTTCAAAAATTAAAAAAATATAGCACCCTAAAATTTCTGTAGGAATTTGGGAAATCTGGGGAACTCCCCTAATGCCCAGTTGGTTAAAGTAATTTCTGTATCATCAACCCTCAAAAGGCTGAGGAGTCATAAACTGCATGCCCTTATGGAAGGGCCCTGGGTGGGGTTGGGGGGTATTTTATTTATAAGTTTAAATTTGTCACCTTTAATTGTATCAAGTAAGTCAGGTATGGTTCCTCCATTTTCTGGAACTATACTTTCATCTAAAATCATAAAAAAATTATCTTTGTTTAGGATGTCTGTTGGGTTGTTTGTATGTCCAATCTTAAACTCATGAACCCATCGACCAATTTGTCAAGAATTTTGATTAAGAAATTCGGTAGAACCAAGAGAAATGTTCTTAGCTTGGCATATATAGATTCAAAATTAATAAGGGTGAGCTGGGTGACTTTTTTAGGGAATGTTAAATTTTCCAGCAACAATAATTTCCCATTTACTCAACATTTATTATGTATGCGTGAGGGTGTGCTTACACCCCTTAATCAAAATAAATTATTAAAGTTTAAAAATTTCTTCGGCAGTACACCTTTTCTTTTGTTTTGCACTATTTACTACTTAGAAACCTCAAACAACATCTGTACTCTCTTAACCCTATCTCTGCTGGGGTACTTGAAAACCAGGATATGCTGGGGGGGGTCAATTTGACCCCCCCCCCTCTAAATCCCATATTTGATGTCCAAATATGACAAATGATACATCATTGGAAATCTCTTGTGCTCTACTTTTAGAATCTGCCAAAAAATTTGCAAATTTGCAAAATAACACAAACAACAGCTGTACTCTCTTAAACACAAACAACAGGTGTACTCTCTTAAACACAAACAACAGCTGTACTCTCTTAAACACAAACAACAGCTGTACTCTCTTAAACACAAACAACAGTTGTACTCTCTTAAACACAAACAATAGCTGTACTCTCTTAAACACAAACAACAGGTGTACTCTCTTAAACACAAACAACAGGTGTACTCTCTTAAACACAAACAACAGCTGTACTCTATTAAACACAAACAACAGCTGTACTCTCTTAAACACGAACAACAGCTGTACTCTCTTAAACACAAACAACAGCTGTACTCTTCAACAGCTGTCGTCTTTAAATTCTCACCTTTAGTGGAGAACCCTCTAGTATTCAGAGTTAGGTTTGACCACAAACCAAAAATTGCATATAACTAAATTTACGCAAAAAAATTGACATAGCAAAAATGCCACGTAGGAAAAATGACAAATATAAAAATGACGCAAAGCAAAAATGAAGCATAGCAAAAATTACACAGAGGAAAAATTACACATAGCAAAAATGACATGACACATAGCAAAAATGACACATAGCAAAAATAAGACAAAGCAAAAATTACACATAGCAGAAATGACACATAGCAAAAATGAAACATAGCAAAAATGAAACATAGCAAAAATGACACATAGCAAAAATGACAAATTGTGAATTGTTGATAGCATTCTCAAATTTAATCATGACAAAATTATCGAGTACTAAGCTACTAACCTAAGTCTAGAAACATGGTAAAGTTGAACGCATTACGAGTTCTGTAAAAACAAAAATAAATCAAAAATACAGTGAGATTCAGAAAACAATGAATAGGAAGACGACATTAAAGCAATTTTAGCAATTACATTGTATTTGATGTTGTTTCAAAGCAAATATTTTAATTAGACACTTATTAAATCATTAACTTTTAGTGAAATGATTTTGTATACTCAGCACAATTGCTGTGTCTCATGTTCATTAGACTTTTTAAAGTTCTAAAAGTCGTCTTACTATTTCAGAGTTTTCTTTAATTCCATCCAGGACAATAAAGAGACTAACTGGGACGGTTAAGTATTGGCCAGACAATAAAGAGTTTACTAGGGACCATAAAGTTGTTAGCATTGTCAAGAACGTTGTCAGCAACAATTGATGAAGGAATGACAATTGGAATTAATATATTTATTTAGCTTTTGGGACAAAAAAATTAACCTGCTGGGACAGAATTAAATTGTTAGGATAGAAAATGATTTTTTGGGAATCCCTGAAAAATTTATGGAATAATATTTACCCCTGTTAAATTTACGGAATTTTATTGACCCCTGTAAAATTTATGGAATTTGATTGACCCCTGTAAAATTATGTACAGAACATACCTGTACATGCAGTCATGCATCAAGAGAACCTGACCGTAATATCGAAACTGGTTCGGATCTAAATGATTACATTGGAAGGACCTCATCAATGACATGCATTTCTTCTTTCAATGCAAAAAAAGGAATGATAAATGTACAATTTGAAGGTCTCCCCCCCCCCCTTATAAGTCTTGTAAGGGAAAAATAACAATTCAAAATTTTTAAATAATTTTTTATAATTTACTTAGCGGAAATTTCCAGGGTGTGTACTCAACTACTCGTTCCTTCCTAAATATCAATCTATCATACCTGTACCTGTACCTGTACCTGCACCTGTACCAGTACCTGTGCCTGTACCTGTACCTGTACCTGTACCTGTACCTGTACCTGTACCTGTACCTGTACCTGTACCTGTACCTGTACCTGTACCTGTACCTGTACCTGTACCTGTACCTGTACCTGTACCTGTACCTGTACCTTTACCTGTACCTGTACCTGTACCTGTACCTGTACCTGTACCTGTACCTGTACTTGTACCCGTACCTGTACTTGTACCTGTACCTGTACCTGTACCTGTACCTGTACCTTTACCTGTACCTGTACCTGTACCTGTAAAAATCTATAATTTCCATCAGTATTTCTTCGACTGCCATACCATAAAAGTAAATTCTAAACATATTTTGTTTCGACACAAAAAGAACAAAATCAAAATCAGGAAATACGTCAGGAAATTGCCAGGAAACTGCATAATAAGTAAATCAAATGTAAATTGATGAAACACACTTAAAAAATATATAAATTAAGATATTTTTAAAAACTTTTTAAAATGTGTCACCTTTTTGGAAAAGAAGCTTTGATTTATTTACAAATAAATTAAAATTTCATAAAGCAGAGCTTTCAGGAATTGAGTCTTTGCTACAAGTTCTAATTTATAAAGATATAGACATTGAAAATTGTTAGTTGTTGCAAGACTCAACAACAAAAAAGAATAATAATGACTATTTTACCTGTTAACTCCTAGAAGTTTCTGTTTTTCTATGTACCCGATCATATTCATAACAGACTCAGGGGTACTATAAGCATAACTTCAAGTGAGTCATCATGCCAAGATGGCAATGTCCGATTCACAATGGTACCCGTAAAAGCTTTTTGATCAAGAATAAATTAGATTAAATGTTAATAATTTCGAAAACTGATTTCTCTACAAAACGTGACTTGCGCATTTCTACTGCAAGAAAACATATACTGTATAAACTATTAACAAAATAAAACTCGGGTGCAGTTGAAATGAAACAAAATATTTATTCTGTTATAGCATAAAATTCAGAAAATCTATGAAAATTATTTTGTTTAATTCGAAACTTTGGAACAGCTTTCTTAGGTGCACAGCAACAAGCGGTTACGTGATAGTTTTTAAAAATTTAAAAGTTTTCCTATTTGAATATATTCAATTATAATTGTAGATTTTAATTTAATTGTTCTCATAAAAAAAATTAATTGAGTTCTATAATTTTTAAATTGGAAATCATTTTACCCATACCTTGCATTTTCTAGCCTCAAAGGCCCCATTAGACATAGAGCTAAAAAGTAAGTTGTTTTTTGTTTGTTTATTTTTTTATTATTACACTCTTTTTACTTTGTGAATTTTCAATTAGACTGAGTTCATTATTCTCAATAAGATATACTTTTACAGTTTTTTAATCTTTCAAATTCTAATTTTGGTCGTCTTTTCTATAGCAGTTTGAAAATCAGGCTTTTGTTTAAAGAATAAAATTTGTAAAGAAAAAACAGTGGTTTAACCCTATCTCTGCTGGGGTACTTGAAAACCAGGATATGCTGGGGGGGTTGAATTTGACCCCCCCCCCCTCTAAATCCCATGTTTGATGTCCAAATATGACAAATGATACATCATTGGAAAGCTCTTGTGCTCTACTTTTAGAACCTGCAAAAAATGTGCACAATTGCAAAAATAGAATTTTTTATCGCAAATACAGTAAAAATGTTTGCAAAAAACATTTGTCCAAAAAATTAAAAATCATGCATTTTTGAAAAGCCCTTGACCATAACATTTCAAATATGCAAGAATTTTTGCAAAATTTTACATAACCTGATTTTTAATTTAGGAAAACTAAAAATGTGCAATTTCCTTTGACAGGTTGTTTGCAATTTTTTTCGCAAAACTTGTGCAATTCGTTTCCTTATGTCCAAGGCTTTCCAAAAAGCTAAATTTTATCAAAATCTGACAAGTGGAAGTGGGTCAAAACAAAGATTTAGTTTGTTACAGGAAAAAACAGTCATTCAGGCAGTGTGCCTGAGGACTCAGGCAGTTAGTATTAAAGCCCGGTTTTAGGCCTAAAGGGAGGGATTTGGGTATGTAGGACAAGTCAGAAAATGTCAACAGCCTCAGACCAATACTTTCGGAGTTATGTAAAAAAAACTACAGGGGGGGGGGTCAAATTGCCCCCCCAGCAGGAATAGGGTTAACTCACAGAAGACAGAGATAACAAAATATTAGATATTGATGGTGAAAAATAAAACAAAAAAGATGTTATTAATAAAATTTGATACACACCTAGTTTTCCGTGATAAATTGTGTTTCGGAAAACTTTAACTTTTATAGAAATATTTCCTGGTCTGCTTATTTCAAGCTCCTTACACTCAGCGTCTAAATATTTTTATATTCAATTTTAGGATATTTATCACACCTATTAATTCCCGTTGCAGGGCGAAAAAGTATCTTTATCACCCTAATGTAAAGTAATTTTATCGACCTGCTATTAATTTTTAATAAATTATATAAAATTGAATAAAACTATATATGTTATTGTAAAAGGTTTAATGCGTTCGAAAAATTTTTATGTTTTCTAGTTTGTTTTCGATCAAGTGTTTTTACACCTCACTAAGTTTGGTGTGAAAATACTTTCATTTTGATCTCTAACAAACTAGAAAAAATTAGAATCCTGGCAAAAACTTTTTTCCAACTTAATGATACACATTAAAATAACATAAATAGATATAAAAAAAGATGAGGAATTTTGAATTTTTAGTCCGACATCAAATTCAAATTCACATGCAATTTTCTATATTTTATTGTTTTCTGTTAAGGACTGTAAAAATGACAGTGTCCGATCCTTAAACGTTAATTAAGTATGATTTAGATATCAAGGCTAATAATTTGAAAACTGATTATTTTGAGTTTTTGGTTTCTCGGAAAAAGTGCCTTTTCTACTGCATTTCAACCACAGATATTTAATATTACAATTAAACACTTTTAAACCAAGAAGGACAACATTTCAAATTTTTAAACAAATGAAGGTTTCAAGGGTACCGTTGTGAATCGGGCATTTTCATCTTTGCATAGAGGGTCACTTAAAATTACAAGTTGTCATGTTTCATGTTTTATGGTTTCCTCTGTAGATGTAATTAAATGTTTCGGATATTCCGCACATAGCTGTGCAACTGCGGAATTCAACACTAAGGTTTGCAGAATTCAACACAAAGGTTTGCGGAATTCAATACAAAGGTTTGCGGAATTCAACACAAAGGTTTGCGGAATTCAACACAAAGGTTTGCGGAATTCAACACAAAGGTTTGCAGAATTCAACACAAAGGTTTGCAGAATTCAACACAAAGGTTTGCGGAATTCGCAAGCGATCGAAATCCTACTTGTAATTACGTTTGAAATTAAACTTAACCGTAACATGAATATTTCTAGACTTATTTTACAATAGTATAAAATATAGGTACATGCACATTCCACGTTGTATTGTATACATTTGTTAACCTTAAACAATGAGCTTACACCGTTGTAAAGTCGTCTTTGACTAAGATTTTCTCCGGCGACCAAGCCAAACATTACCTCCGATGAACAGTATAAACAATTTTCACGTGCAGTACCCCAGCTTCAAAAGTTAAAAGAATAACACTTAACAAATAGTGATTTACATTTAAATCAATTGCCATTTAATTCAGAGGACAAAACGTTGTTTTAGTGCTGTTCAATAACCGGACTATAATCTTTTACCCACTAATGGTAAGAATTTTTCATTATAATGAAACATTACATTTATACTCTGTAACCTTTGTTAATGAAATATATTTTTTTAGGATCGAAATAAATTAAATACCATTTATTATCGATTTTGGGTACAATAGAGGATAAGATTGTTATTTTATGAATGTTTGAAAGTTATGTCTGTTCGAGAGCTCTAATTAATCGGGATTATTGGTTTGGGTAATATATACCCTCTTGGTTCAGTCCCTGGAAGATTACTGTAGAAGCTTTCACCGCGCATATCGAGATCACCCCCCTTGTTTAGCTCTACAACATTACATAAAATACTTAGCAGTATTTCAGAATAGCAATTTTATTTCTTATTCAATAATTACGACAGATTTTATATTGCAGATCATTTTTTGGAGTAGAGCATTAATTGTTTCTTGATCTACCATTCACCATAGAATTCACATCGCAGATCCATTTCAGTCAATAAGTTACAATTAAAACTATTCGATTTATGTCAATTACATTTTTCATCATAACTTTTTAGAAAACCAATACTCAAAATCAATCCTCCAGAATGTACATTGTACAATCCAGGACTTCAGCAGTAATTCAAAGATTGAATTATACATCGCGAAAACGTTTCATAGTCGGAAATAAACCCTGAAAAATTTCTGTTCCAAGATGTACTTTCAGCTCAACTACCGTGTTTAGCCGGTCTCTCCCTTTAAAGGTAGTATTCCTATTGCACAGCTGTATGAGTACCACTGTAGATAACTAGATACCTGATTCTATTGTGCATTGAAGTTTAGCTGCTTGATACTCGAGATTCCACACATCTTGGATAATTTCCAAACTTAATTTTCCCTGCTCAAAACCTAGTCATCAATAAAATTTTCTTTACTCCAAAGGGTTGGATTGTGTGAAATGTATCCTTCTCCCCTATCTCAATTCTAGGGGTAAAAAATTAGGGTTTCTAGCGACGAAAGTTTCGCGAAAAAATGCAAAAATTTTCGCAATTTTCTTAAACAAACGAAATGCGTAACGTTAGCCGAAACATTTTTTTTCGCGAAACTATTTTCTTTCATCGCTGGAAACCCTAGGTGAACCCATAGAAGGGTCTATTTTTGCATACATTTAGTCTGACATGCCAATGCTAAGTTCAGAATTATTAAGCTTTGTCGGTAATAACGTTTCCTGGAATATAAAACAAAAAATGCCCAGCACTTCAGCTACTCTATAAAATAAAGCTCTTCGCTGATAACGCCACACGGCTGGACCAAATGGGCTGGAATTTTTTTTAGGAAACCCACGGGAACCCTAGGGTAACACATACTCCAATATTAGATTTATTTTTAAAATTGGAATTGTTTTATTCCATAAATTTTGTAAATGTTGCAAATATTCTTGCCAAGATTTGTCATTAAATTGGTCTGAAAAGCATTAAAAACAATCAATACAATAGATTTTTCAGACTACAAAACATTTATAAATATAGTTGTTAAACAAAATAAAAAAACTAGTCACAGTACAAATAGTTAATTATTTGGGACAGTTCAAAACCATGAATTTCAATTTTATTTGATACCTGATTCATGAAAACATGTTTAGTAGCACACACTAGATACCTGATTCATGAAAACATGTTTAGCTGGACACACTAGATACCTGATTCATGAAAACATGTTTAGTGGGACACACTTGATACCTGATTTATGAAAACATGTTTAGTGGGACACACTTGATACCTGATTTATGAAAACATGTTTAGTGGGACACACTTGATACCTGATTCATGAAAACATGTTTAGTGGGACACACTAGATACCTGATTTATAAAAACATTTTTAGTGGGACACACTTGATACCTGATTCATGAAAACATGTTTAGTGGGACACACTAGATACCTGATTCATGAAAACATGTTTAGTGGCACACACTTGATACCTGATTCATGAAAACATGTTTAGCTGGACACACTAGATACCTGATTCATGAAAACATGTTTAGTGGGACACACTTGATACCTGATTCATGAAAACATGTTTAGTGGGACACACTAGATACCTGATTCATGAAAACATGTTTAGCTGGACACACTAGATACCTGATTCTTGAAAACATGTTTACTGGGACACACTAGATACCTGATTCATGAAAACATGTTTAGTGGCACACACTAGATACCTGATTCATGAAAACATGTTTAGCTGGACACACTAAATACCTAATTTATGAAAACATGAACAGCTCCAGTTTAAAGCTTTGAATGAACTTTTCACCACTGACAGCACAGTAAATGTTCTTAAACATAGATAAATAATATTAAAGATTTGACAGGAAACACGTTCAGTGTTCTGAACCATAGACCAATCCATATTGTTGTATAGTATAGACGGGGGGGAGGGGGTGTTTTCCAACCACCAACCCTCCCCTCCCCTATGATTTTGTCCTCTTCAAATGAATCTAGAAAGAGAGAGTTTCAAAATTCAAAATTTGTATTTTAAAAAAAATGTCACCTTTCAGAAATGTCTGGATAAGCCGTGTATAGAAAAACTTCATCAAAGTTTATTAACAGTCCTTAATCAATCAATCAATCAATCAATCAATCAATCATATATAAAAGATATGATAAAAGTAAAAAAGTGCAAAACTTAAATCAAATATTTGGTTGAATTTTTGCGTTTCTTTATAGAATGAATAGAACTATTATACTGAAGAAGAAAAAACAGTTCTTTGCATGCAAGTTAAGGCTCTTTACAAAGGAATATCATTTACTTCAAATATCTAACCGGCGCGGCTGGGGGGGAGGAGGGGGTCCCCAGGACCCCCTCCTCTCCCCAGTTTTATTTCAATTTTTCGAGACATGGACATCAGATGGAACTTATTGAGGTCAAGATCAACTCCTGAAATTGTTTTAACCTTTCCCTCCCTTCCATTTTTCTTTACAGTCATTTTAAGATCTGACAGAGAAGGATTTAATCATAGATATTTTGTATCCCTCGCAATCAGTTCGTTATTTCTACAAAAATTTTCGTAATTTGTTCAATGTTACATTGAACAAATTAACAGTCCAGTTCAGTGTTAATTCGACAAATGTAAAATGATTATCTTCGTCGTTATTTCTTTTGATAATAAAGTTCTTACTTTTTTCATCTAGATTTTCATATTCTTCTTCAAACGCAGATTTTAATATTTCTAAAAAAGAATGTGGAGAAATGGATAGTTTATGGTTTTTTAATTAGTTAAGAAAGAAGTTAAATATTTTTATGTATAATTGAGGCATTTATGGAATGTTCCGATTTTACAACAACTGTTAAATACAAGAATGAACTATTCAAATGTTAAAGGATTTTATAACAAAACAAAAGTTTCTTTACATTTTAAAATTAAGTTTTAATCTAATAAATTTAAATCTAATTTTGAATTTATTTCTAGGTGTTTTTAGTAGTTTAAAGTTACAAATTAATGGCAAACCACTCCTTCTAGAATCCTAGGGGTTATTTTAAGTCAAGATATTCTAAATGATTCTAAATTCTAAAGTAATAGTCAATGTCATTACAATTAAATGTGTTTTTTTTAATAGAAAAAAGGGAATGGGCAATGAAGAATACATTTTTACTTCTAAATAATGTCATTTCCATATTAAATTTATTTAAGATCTTAACATACTACATTGAAGACAAGAAAATTTTAGAAATTAGAAATTAGAATATAAACAAAGACAATATTTTCTCAAAATTTTGCAGAGTAGCTTTTCTACCTATATATAAATTTGGCTTGTCTGTCTGGGTGTTTGTTTTGATGTCTGTCTGTTTGTGTTCAATAAACGTCAAAACGGCTGAACCGATCGGGCCCAAACTTTTTGTGGGACCTCACGTGACCACAGTGAAGGTTAAGAATGATCAAAATTTCAAATATTTGTCTCCATCAAAATTCGATCTTCATTAAATTTTTGAAAATTTTGAAAATCCACGAAATTTTTTGTGAAAATCCGCGAATTATTTTTTTTGTTTTAGATGTACGCAAAGAGAACATGCTCACAATTAATTTAGAAGATGGGCGCGAAGCGCCCTCTAAGGCTAGTAGATTTAAAAAAGTAACATATTTTTCTCATCGAGTAAAACCATTTTTTATGTTACTTAAAATAAATTCAGTTTTTCTGCAGATCTTTGTAGTTAAAGTAAAATGAATGACTATATTGAAGGATATAAAACAAGGTGAAAGCTGAAAGGTTCGGCATGAAGTTTTGATGGAGTTTGTAAATGCCAGAAATGAGTGGAAAATACAAATCAAAACCAACTAAAACCAATAATTTGATATACACCAAGATATTTTCTAAGCGGGGGGTGAAAAAAAATAAGGGGGGGGGGGGAAAAAAGTTCGGCGCGCTTCGCGCACCACATTAAAAAAGATTTCCCCCCCCCCCTCCCCCTACAGAATCCTTATTTACTCCCGTGCCACAGAAGTTTGAAAAAATGGAGGCAATGGGTTTCCGTTGTAATTTTCTCCCTGGAAAACCATTATTCAAAAACAGATATAAAAATATATATATAATACATATATGGTTAAATACTTAAATCCTCTGTTTTAATCATATCTATATATGAATTTGGCTTGTCTGTCTGTTTGTCTGTCTGTTTGTATCCAATAAACGTCAAAACGGCTGAACCGATCGGGCCCAAATTTTTTCTGGGACATCACGTGACCACAGGGAAGGTTTATAAATGATAAAAAATTTTAAAATGTGTTTTACAGGTTTTTAATTTAGTAAAAAAATTTAAATTCTTGAAAATCCGCGAATTTTTGTTTAAAAATCCGCAACAATTTTTTCTACTTTGTTTTAAAATGTAAACCAAAAAGAACATGTTTACAATTTAAATAGAAGATGGGCGCGAAGCGCCATAAAAGCCTAGTTAGTTAGAAAGAACCTGTAAATAGAATAAAAGAAATCATGTTTAAATGAACCTGTAAAAAGAATAAAAGAAAACATGAATAAAATAAACCGGTAAAAAGAATAAAAGAAATCATGATTAAAATGAACCTGTAAAAAGAATAAAAGAAAACATGAATAAAATGAACCTGTAAAAAGAATAAAAGAAAACACGATTAAATTGAACCTGTTAAAAGAATAAAAGAAAACATGAATAAAATGAACCTGTAAAAAGAATAAAAGAAAGCATGATTAAAATGAACCTGTAAAAAGAATAAAAGAAAGCATGATTAAAATCAGTGCTTGAAATAATATTTTCTTCCCTAGACGCATTCTGCTTTATGTTAACTAAGCTATAGTAAACTTTAAACAATGCCAATTTAGGGTATAACATATGTTTTAATGTGATATATTGTTTTCTTTTAAAATTAGACAAACAACGCATTTAGTTTGAAAACTCTGTATCAAAAACTATGAAAAAAAAGAAAAAGATACCAGTACATTCGTAGTTTTTTTGCTTTGAAACGAAAAACTAATTTTTGTTTTCTGTTTTGGAACGAAAAGCATTTTTTTTCTTTTCAGTATTTTGTTTGGAAACAAAAAAAACAAATTCTTTAGTTCTCCGTTTTGGAACGAATAGAGATTGTTTCTTTTTAAAAGCAAAACGATTCCCAAAATGGAGTTAAAACATTTGTTTTGAAAGAAAAAAATTGAAATCGATCCCTTGACATTGTAATATTTAGAATATAGAAGATCCTCGAGGGAGGTGCTCTTTACGGACGGCTCCAATACAGGCTGCTGTGAAAGGGGAAGACCTAGATCCAGAACTGGAGGAACTACTGAGGGAATCTCCGGAACTATGGACTCCTCCAACACAACCTCCACCCCCAGATTATCCTTATCTCCTTGGAGTAGTTCGAAATGCTGACTAGTTAGTCTATGGAGCAGGAAGAGACAAGAAGAGATTCAAGATACTCTACAAGAGATATTAGAAGATATGTTACCCTGGCTTAAAGATTATATCTCCTCTTCTGAAGCATCCACTCCTAGAACTCCTAGTCGGGATATAGCTCTAGAAGACTTATCTGACCCAGAGGAAGCTGCTCCAAATAATCCCAGCCCGGAGCTGCTAAGTTAAGAGTCTGAGTCTAGAGATCTAGAACTTGTATCTGAGGAGATGCAAGGAACGGAGGAAGCTGTTAAGAGACCACATAATGTGGAGCAGCTACAAGAAACTCTACAATATTGGGAATCTTATGAAGAATAGCTAAATGAGAACCCTGGTCCCAGGGAAGCTTCTTTTCCAAATCCAGGACAAGATGGAGATCTAAATGTAAGAGAGGGTCTGAGGATAGCTTACAGGAAATATCTCAGAACCAGAAGTAACATTGAAACCTTGAGGAGTAGCTCCGAGATAAGGACATTCTCTGGATGGTTTCGCTACCTCTAAACCGCTTTGCACCAGAGGCTGGACTACCAGAAGCAGCAGCTGAGCTAAGCCGACTTAAGGAGCTTATAGTTGTACAGAGGATAGATGTAATGCAGCTTGCTGAACGATGGGTTTCCAAACAGAATGTTGTGAGACAGAACTTAAACTTTAACAGATGTATTTATATCAATAAAACATAAACTGATAAATCCCAATTACTCATACTCTAAGAAATAGACATGAAACTGGTACTTGGATTGAAAGTGAAGCCTTTGCATTAACCCTTAACAGAGGACTATATTTAAAGGAGCTGTAAAGGAAAAATGAAAGGGGGTATAGGCTGAAAGCTAACCACTTTAGCTCTTGATCGCGACCCATGAAAGTTTTATCTGATGTTCCTGTCTCGAGAAATTGATATAAAACTGTGTTAAAATTATATGAAAGTTTATATATGTAAAAAGTTAGAAAATCTTAAACTTAAATCACGTGACCAGAACTATCACCAATGGCAGAGCAGTATACTAGTCACGTGTCTCCACCTCTATCACGTGACCACTTAACTGAACTGCCATTGGTGGAATTTCTGGTCAAGCAATACGGACGTATAAATAATATTATGAATTAAATCTATAAAAGATAGAAATAACAAATATAAAATTAGAATTGCAGTAAACCTAAGTTACAATTAGCTTTCTCTGGGATCATCGTTTTCAGATTGGTTGCATATTTGCTGAATTTGATCTTTTTAAACCAACTACTTTTATACAAAATTGTATATACTGTTAAACCTTAGGTCTTACTAAATGATACATGGTGGGGGTTGAAAAATGTTTATTGGTAAAAACTTGCTACGGAATATATAGGAGCGTTTTTACTGTGTAGTCAGTTTCTGTGGGGGGATTTAGGGAGCTTCTCAACTGCTGGAATTGATTAGTCTTCAGAACAGGGAGCAGTCTCGAGCAGAACCATAGAATGCTGCTTCTGTAGGGAACTGCCTTAAGCTGTAGGTGTAGATGAACCTTTAGAGCTGTCTGGAGCAGAACTGTAGAATGCTGCTTCTGTAGGGAACTGCTTTAAGCTGTAGGTGTAGATGAACCTTTAGAGCTGTCTGGAGCAGAACCGTAGAATGCTGCTTCTGTAGGGAACTGCTTTAAGCTGTAGGTGTAGATGAACCTTTAGAGCTGTCTGGAGCAGAACCGTAGAAGGCTGCTTCTGAAGGGAGCTGCTAGAAGCTGCTGGTGTAGACGAACTTTCTGGTACGGGACTTGGTCCGAAAATGATAACTCTATTCTGATTTTAGAATATCAATAAAATCCCCTTTTGATACAGAGTTGGTTTAGAACTCCGGAGCTGCTGGAAGATTAGCTACAACTGATAATATCATCTTTTCAAGATTTCAACGTTAGGTTTAAGGCGTAACCTTAACCTTGAGTCTATACTTAAAAATACACAGTGCTCACAGGATGTTCACAAAAAATACAAACATATAAATACATTTTAACTATTCATAAAAGCACAAATATCAATTCTTAAAGAATCTGTTACATTCGTTTGTGAATTTTACAAAAAGGAGTTTTAGTTTATGTAAACACCCAGCAGAGTTCCCATATACAGAAATAATTGATTCCAACCATGATCTGACATTCTTTGTTAAAAATATGCACTTTGAACTCCGTTACAATACATTAATTTTCGTATAAATTTGACAAAGTTGTAAATCAATTTCTCGAGATAGGAACATCAGATAAAACTTTCATGGGTCGCGATCGAGAGCTAAAGTGATTAGCTTTCAGCCTATACCCCCTTTCATTTTCCTTTACAGTCCTTTAAGCCGATATAATCCGATATAGATATATAATTTATCCAGTATAGATATAAAATGTTTCCGGTATAGATATATAATGTATCCAGTATAGATATATAATGTATCCGGTATAGATATATAATGTATTTGGTATAGATATATAATTTATCCGGTATAGAAATATAATGTATTCCGTATAGATATATAATGTTGTTGACTTTAAAAGTCAATATGATAAAATAAAAGGAGATCTACATGGATATTTCTAACATTTATTTAATAAAACGGATGTTTTGAAATATTTTCCCAAGTGGCATTAAAATTGGTTGGTTTAGAAATTAATAAAGAAACTATAGACGAATATCAATTGGAGGTGTTTGTAGAACTTCATGATGGTGGTGCAGATCATCAATCTTGACGGCAGGCTTACTCACAACTAGGCTTAGTCTAAGGGAGAGAGATTGCGGACTTATCCTGTATACAGGATAATGGAAGGACGTCTGATATCCGCCCGGATCTCTGGAACATTGCGGAGCGAACTATTGTTACCTTCTCCTGTGGGGCGAGGAGCTAGGTGTAAGCAGTGTCTTCTGTTGTTGGTTCTGTATCTGAATCATCATCATGGAGGAGCCAGGGTTGAGACGGAGTTGTTAATGTCTTGAGTGTTCATGGCTGACTGCCGGGGCTGGGATCTGTATAAGGGGGGGGGGGAGAAGAAGCGGGGTTTGACATGTGAGCACTACGTGGAGGAAATAGATCTAGAGTACGCAAACATCTAGAGAAAAGGCTACGGCAATTTGAGTCGGAAAAATCGTCTTCCTTATATTTCGAATTAATTTTAACAAATGTATTCAGAGCTGAAAACTTTAGAATGGTGGATATCAGGATTAAGGCTTAAACCACTCTTTTTCTTAATCTCGAGATTAAATGTTGCTTGATTAATGCATGATAAGATATATAATGTATCCGGTGTATTGATATATAATGTATCTGCAGTATAGATATATAATGTATCCGGTATAGATATATAATGTAATCAGTATAGATATATAATGTATCCGGTATAGATATAAAATGTATCCGGTATAGATATATAATGTATCCAGAAGAGATATATAATGTATCTGGTATAGACGTATAATGTATCCGGTATAGATATATAATGTATCTGGTATAGATATAAAATGTATCTGGTATAGACATATAATGTATCCGGTATAGATATATAATGTATCTGGTATAGATATATAATGTATCCGCCAATGTTTGTAAAACAATAGTATTGAAAATTATGTAATGTAATCAAATAAATATTGACTGTTTGATAGTTTTAAAGGAAGGCGCCATTAGAGAGGAGATACACTGATGCAGGAAACCCACCAGTTATCGTGTTCTTCAAACTAGGGATAGGCATTCTTTGAAAAAAATCATTTTTAGTTTCGTTTTGGATTTTTTTTCAAAACTGACTTTCATTCGTTTTAGAAAAAAACGAAATGTTAAAACTAACGAAGTATTATTTTTAAGCTTCGGAAAACGAAAAAACGAATGAACAAACTAGAGTTCTGAAGCAAAAACGATCGTTTTTGTTTAAATTTCAATTAAACAATTTTTTGTAGATTCAAACTTCTTTTTTCATCAACATATGTTTATTAGTCGTTTTTATTTCAAAACGATTAATGAGAACTATTGTTTTCATTCCTAAACCAGCTACAAAAAAAACAATTTTTAGGGACATATTGCGTAAACACTATGAAACATTACCAAAAAAAAATGAAGGAAGACGACAGTTAAAATCTTCAGCAGATTTTTCCCAAGTAGAAATAAATTTTTAACAATTATAACTGACCAATAAGCTTCAATTAACGGTTGCTTTCGTTCGTTTCAGAGGCGGCTTATTTGGGGGNTGGGACGTTCCCCCTGGAAAATTGCATGGATGCCTCCCCCAGGAAAAATCGGGAGCGGAAGAAAAGAGAGCAGGCATTTTCTTGACCTTTTATTTTGATTTTAAAGAATAAGAATAAAGTAAAAAAAGTTGTGCCATTTTCCCCCTTGAAATGAATAGTTTTTTCCCCCCACCCCTCCCCCAAACCTGATCAATGGTCATGGTTTCCACATAAATTGATCAATTCCATGGGGGGGGGGGAGGGGAATTGCCTGTGGTTCGTTTGCATGAGGTTGCCGTTCTTTACTAGTCTTAACATTTATAAACAAAGAGAATAGAATACATATTAGAGCGGAATTTACTAGAAAAAAGTTTAAAACGGTCATTTTGTCGTACAGAGTCTAAAACTAAAGAATGCGCGAATTTTAAGTTCGAGGTTAAAAGTTCTGTAAAATAATGAGTAGCTACTTAAATATTTAACTTTCTCAATTTTAAATTTGAATTTCCCGGGAAAATCTGAACCAATCTAAGAAAAGAATTATTACTTAACTATTGGTAATCAGCTGATTTTTAAATTTTAAATTATTTACGTGCAAACATTAATTAATCTAAAACGTTAAATTTACTGAATCAAGGTTTTTACTTTTAAATATATCGTAATTAGTTGAATGCCGGTTACCGCTGAATGATGATAGGCAAATAGGGATTGCGGGATTTCAAGATTTTAACCCTGTGCTTAAATTTTAACTCGTCGATTTCGGCAAGTTAATATTTGTCCACAGGGTTAAATATTTAACCTCACGGTTAAAGTTCAGGTTTAAATTAAGTCAAAAGTGGCATTTAACCATGAACTTTAAATTTAAGTCAAAACTTTTCGTTCTTTAGTTTTAGACTCTGTTTCCAACTTTCCATACTGCAGCTGTGTACTTCACAAATTTGTGTTATATAACCTTTTGGGCCCTGGAACATCATTTTATAAAAAAATCTAAAATTAATATTAAAAGAAACCCAAATTATGAAATAGGCTGGTTTCAGAATGCCTTTCACTTTACAAACGATGATTTTCCGTTATAACTAAAAATCAAATGATGTTTTTTATTCACCTAATTCATTTAATAAAGTTTATTTAACAGCTTTAAAAAATTCGAAATTGAAATGGATAGTCTAAGGAACATGCTGTGTGTGATGTACTGCATATAATTTGTGAACATTTTTATGAATTGTACACTTTGAACTCCCTTTCAGGCTGAAAGGGACTGACAAAATTCATACCGAGGGATTGTCTAAATTCCACTCTAATATATACTCTATTCTAGCTTTGTTTATAAACTTCCATCACCATTTAGATTGATTAGTTTGTTAACGATAGTTGTACTTTTATTAAAGCAGTTGCTCGTTTTTTATTTTCCTTTTTTTCATCAACGGTTCATTTTGTTTAATAATGATTTGTAAATTGATAGATATTTTTGAATGTAATCTGTAAAAGAAAAATATGTTTAAGAGTCTTAAAATGGTAACATATTTGGCCATAAAAGTTTGTAACGCCTTATTTTAGGACTTTTCCATGAAAAGTTTAAAAGAACTTTTATGGTGGTTAACACTATAAGTTCATAAGATTAATAACAATACAGATAGATCAGTAGATGTCGTCTTTTTAAGATTTAGGTGTTTTTCTTTCACAATAATCCTGAGGCAGAAGCCCATTTAAGATCCTTATAAAAAATAAAAATCTTTATGTTGCCTTTAAATTCCCATGATTGGCCATGACCCTGCAAGTAAATGTAATGATTTAAAACTAAGTTTATAAAAATATCTTTTCACTTTTGATTAATATTAATTTTTCTCAGCTGCAGGGAAATTAACTTTTGAATTTTTATTAATCTTACAACTTTTTTCAAATTTGAGCTTTTAGAATTAAATACATGATTCTTACTTTAATCTACTATATCTCTGCTGGTGAAATTACATGATAATTAGAATAATATATTTTTAGAATACAACAAATATCAAGTATAAAAGCTAAATATGATAAAGAATTCAGTATCTGATCTTGGTTCAGTTTCAAGAAACCCCCGCAAGATAGAGACACTGTTCTTTATTCCATTGTACACTTTAGGTAAAGTCAGCTGACAGTTTTTCCCGGATTTTTGAGTCGGAAGGCTGAGGAAAAAATGCTCGATAAAGCATTTTGAACTTTTTGACAAAATAGGGGACATAAATAGGGTTTCGTACATGGAGAAAGAGTACATGAAGATTGAAATTCAAAAGAAGAAACAGCAAGATGAAGAGGTGGAAAAAGATGGCAGAGGGAGGGGTAATATTTGAGCTATGGGTTGCATAACAACTTGCATATTTCAAATCATCTTTCTGACACAATGTTTTTAAAAAATAAATTTGTAATTTTCACAGAAAATAAAATTAATATTTGATTTGTCATAATTTTAAGAAAACGAGCATGAATCGAGCTTGAGCAGAGAAAATTGCAGAATGGGAAAAAAATTCACATTTTTCTGTAGAAGGAAAATTCTGCACACATGATAAAAGATAAGATGAAAAAGCGACGACATTTAACAATGAGAAAAAAGTTAGACTGAAGATAGTTAGTAAATAGTATAGTTTTCAAGTTTTTTTTTGTGCACAAATTTGTGTGAAAATCACAGTAATGTAGATAAATAACAGGGGGCTCTCAAACCCAGAAAACAAAGGTAGAGCAAGTTAAAAAATTTTGCGTTCCAACAAATCCTCGAGAATTTTTTAGCAAATCCTCCAAAATTGTTTTCTGGGTATTCTTGCAACATCTAGCAGTTCACTCAGAATCAAGGGGAACATAAAAACCATTTTCTTTTTAAATTATAGAAAAGTTAAAATTTCCTCTTAGTGTTTTCTTATTTGATTACAGTTGCATTAAGGGTTTTCAGCGAAATGGGGAAATCGTTCCACATTTTTTTGTTTAGCAAAAATTTCGCATTTTTTTAAAAGCAGATTAGTGCGAAATTTTCCAAAAAGGGAACATTTTTGCAATTTTTCGCAAAATTCATTGAAATTTTTGTTTTAAAGAATTTTTCGTTCGCTGGAAACCCTACATAGTTGCATGGCACCCTGCTTAGATTTAGATATACATAGTATAAATTAGTTGTAGATTATAGATACTGATATAATTAGGTATAGATATATAGTTTAAAAATAGATATATACGTATAAATCTATATATCTATAATTTTGAAACAGTTGAAAGAATATAATTAAAAATTCAGGCATTTTATTACTTATTTTGTCATGAAGAGTAGGGAGTAGGGAGTAGGGAGTAGGGAGTAGGGAGTAGGGAGTAGGGAGTAGGAAGTAGGGAGTAGGGAGTAGGGAGTAGGGAGTAGGGAGTAGGGAGTACGGGAGTAGGTAGTAGGAAGTAGGGAGTAGGGAGTAGGGAGTAGGGAGTAGGGAGTAGGGAGTACGGAGTAAGGAGTAGGAAGTAGGAAGTAGGAAGTAGGAAGTAGGAACTAGGAGCTAGGAAGTAGGAAGTAGGAACTAGGAACTAGGAACTAGGAACTAGGAAGTAGGAAGTAAGAAGCAAGAAGTAGGAAGCGAACAGTAAACATTTGTAAAGTAAAGATTAAAAGCAATTGAACATTTTTAAAAAGATTAAAATCCAGAATGTACACTTTACAGGAGAAGCCAATTTGTACAGAATAACAATGAGAATGAATGTATAAAAATATAATCAGGTTTAGAAAAAAGAACTGTGCACAGTGAAGAGGGAGAGTACGGCACCAAGGAGTGCAAAACATACGTTTTAGCATTTTCAAGAAAAAAATGAAAGTTTCCCTCCTCTAATCGGACCCAGTCACACAGGCACTGTCTGAAACAAAATGTTTATTTTCGTACAATAAGAACAAGGAATAGGAAGACGTCATTAAAGTAATAAATTCATGCTGTTTAAAAGCAAATAGTTGTACTAGTACTTAAAAAATCATTTATCAAGAGAAGTTTGCTTGTTTACATTGTACATTTTCTGTTTCTCGTGTTTATTTGTCTTTCTAAAGTCACAACTTTACAATTTCAGAGTTTTACGGATGTCGATGTATTATTTTTTTTGATCTATTTTTACTTTATGAATAAATTGGACATAAATGAATTACTTCCAAATGTTTAAAATGCTCTTGTATTGTCGGTTTTACAAAATTTTAATATTTTTCAATTTTTTCTTGGAAACTTTTCTCAACGAATTCTCAGAAGAAAAAAATATTGCTGTTCGCAATAAACCATGACAAAGGACGAAGCTTGAGTTCCCGAGATTAACGACTTAACTCGATATTTGCAGTGTTAACTCGATATTTGCAGTGTTAACTCGATATTTGCAGTGTTAACTCGATATTTGTAGTGTTAACTCGATATTTGCAGTGTTAACTTTTAAATTGAATAATTTAAATTTTAACTCAGTATCAGTAAGGGACCAAGTAAGTAACAGATTAAAGATACAGCCCTCCCCCCCTCGAACAGAGTTTATCAAATGCTAGTTAATTTACGTTGACGTGGCTAAACCACTTCAGGAGGGGTTTGATTTAAAGGGAGAGACGGCTATGAAACTTATTTAAACCGAAAGTGTAGTATACTAGTATACGGCTAAAATATCAAATATTTAATATTTAAAGTGGAAGCAGCCATGTTTGAAGAGCGTCTGCTCAAATTCTTTAAATTTTGCCACTGGTTCCATTTATTTAATCTAAAATCTTGTTAAAAAAAAATACCTGAATCTTCACCACTTTCTGTAAGGGATGGCAATCGAACCGTGTGAGTATGACTGAAACAAGTATCATTATTTTTTTTAATGCTTAAAGTTTAACAAATAGTCTTAACAAAACTGTAAATTTTAGGATTTATAAATATTATTTTTTATGAACAAATCAACGACAATCGTTGCAGAAATAACGTTATTTTGCGTAAAATTAGTTTAATCTTGGCGACTTTTGTAATTCGCTTTTTATGACTTATTGATATGAATAGTTTATATACGAGTTTTTAATTAATTTCCAAACTGCGAGATCTAAATAATTTCAAGGCAATAAATGGAAATATTTACTAGGTCGTAAGTATGACGAAGTAAACAACTAAATGTTAAAAGGGCCAAGAACAAGGGCCTGGGAACAAGAGCTGGGAACAAGGGCCTGGGAACAAGGGCCTGGGAACTAAGCCCTGGGAACAAGGGCTGGGAACAAGGGCCTGGAAACAAGGGCTGGGAACAAGGGCCTGGGAACAAAGGCCTGGGAACTAAGGCCTGGGAACAGGGCCTGGGAACTAGGGCCTGGGAACAAGGGCCTGGGAATGAAAATTTTGGAACATGGGCTGGGAACAAGGGCCTGGGAACAAGGGCCTGGAAACAAGGGCTAGGAACAAGGGCCTGGGAACTAGGGGCCAAGAACAAGGGCCTGGGAACATGGGCTGGGAACAAGGGCCTGGGAACAAGGGCCTGGAAACAAGCTGGGAACAAGGGCCTGGAAACAAGGGCTGGGAACAAGCGCCTGGGAACAAGGGCCTGGAAACAAGGGCTGGTAACAAGGGCCTGGGAACAAGGGCCTGGGAACTAGGGGCCGAGAAAAAGGGCCTGGGAACATGGGCTGGGAACAAGGGCCTGGGAACAAGGGCCTGGAAACAAGGGCTAGGAACAAGGGCCTGGGAACTAGGGGCCAAGAACAAGGGCCTGGGAATGCAAATTTTCAAGTTGAAAAGTTGCATTCCCTACTGTACAATTTTTCCATCTTAAAAAGTGTTGAATGATGTCATTTTTTTCGTTTCAGTTCAATTGTGTTGACATTGCTTTTCGTGAAATTATTGTAACAGTTAAATCAATGGAATGATAATGACATTGACAGCTTCTTTAATGGCAAAATGGATAGTCGCTGATCCGGGACCAGTGACTAGTGACCAATTACCAGATTCTAGTGACCGATAACTAGTGACCAGTTTCCTGTGACCAGTGACCGGTGACTAGTTTTTTAATGAGCTGCGACCGGTGACTTTTTTTCTGTAACCTGTTGCCTATGACCAGTTTTTAATAAGCTGCGACCGGTGACTAGTTTCTAGTAACCTTTGATCGGTGATCAATTTTCCATGATCTGTGACCGATGACCAATTTTCAGTGACCTGTGACAGGTGACCAGTTTTTAGTTACCTGCGATCGGTGACCAATTTTCAGTGACCTGTGTTAACCAGATTTTAGTGATCTTTGACTGGTGACCAATTTTCAGTGACCTCTGACCGGTGACCAATTTTCAGTGACCTGAGACTGGTGACCAGTTTCCAGTGACCTGTGACCCTTGACCAGTTTTTAGTGATCTGCGACTGGTAACCAATTCTCAGTGACCTCTGTCCGGTGACCAATTTTCAGTAACCTGCGACTGGCAACTGATTTTTAGTGACCTGTGACCCTTGAACAGTTTTTAGTGATCTGCGACTGGTGAACAATTTTGAGTAACCTCTGACCGGTGACCAGATTTTAGTGAACTGCGACCGGTGACCAATTTTCACTGACCTGTGACTGTTAACCAGTTTTTAGTGACCTGTGACCGGTGACCAATTTTCTATGACCAGTGAGCTGTGATTCATGACTAGTTTTCAGTGGCCTGTGACCAGTGACCAATTTTTTATGACCCGTGACCGGTGACTGGTTTCCAGTGACATTTAATCGATGATAAGCTTCTAGTAGCCTATGTAACTATTTGAGAGATTTTACCTGTCTAGGTAGATATGAACGTCCCCAGGGGCTGAGTTTGACCGGCCTCGCTTCCGAAACTTTTCCTTGATATTGTGGAACGGGTTGGAAAACGAGTGCTGCTTCAACATAGCCTAGATAGATGAATAGATGTATAGATATATGTGTAGATATATATATATAGATAGATATGCAGAGATATAGATAGATAGAAAGATCTAATGCCAACTAATACCATTCCGTTACCATAACCGAATTATGCTACAAAATATACTTAAAAGTACTAGCGAGGATTATAATAGAGACTGTAATTACATGATTTAAAGTAAACTTCCATGTAAGGATTGCAATATTTCTGATTTACAACGGTACCCATGAAAGCTTTGTCTGATCAAGTATAAATTAGATATCAATCTTTTGTTTCTTTAAATTATTTCATTAAAATCGGGTGTTGCCATCTTTGCATGGAGGATAACCTAAAATTCCGTTTATACTCCCTTTAACGATGTTTATTTGTTCTCATGAATCCAGAAATAACAGTAATATGACGTCAATGCTATAAAACGAAAAAAATATATTTCAGAATGCATATTCTCGTAAAGAGATAATTTATTTATTTAGTATTTTATAATTATAAGGATATTTTCTCCCTAAATGATATGAATTGCCCAATTTGTTCAATTATTTAATAATAGATTAACAAAAATACTTAATTCGTTTTTATCATAAAGTAATAAAAGTATTCGACGTTGAAAACCTTTTATATTTAAAACTTTGATTATTTGATCTAACATAATTCCTAATTTAAAATATCTATGGTCTTTTAGATTGAGTTGCAAATATATAGGGATTAGAAAATCAGAGTTTGGTGCAACAACTCAATTTCTTTACATATGAATGCCCCCATTTGACAGTTATAACCTGTACTAATATCTAAATGATTTTAAAGTTTTGAAATAAGTTAAATTTATTCACGGTTTGAACAGAATAATTCCAACTCCGTGAATTTATATGGGTTCTATAACGCTCTTGGATGCATTTAACCATTCTCTTCTTTTAGAAGTAAAATGAGTAGAGATCAAACCCGAATTAAATTCACGATCAGCTTGACCCCTTTTCATTTCTAGCGAGCACTCTCTTTTAGCTAAGATTTATACCACCTTATTTTACATTTTTTATTCCAGATTATTCTCTGTAAGTGTCAATATGTTAAACTATAGAGGATCGAGCTTAAATTTTTCTAGAACAGATTAAGTTAACCCTTCCTTAAACGGATAAATTTTACAGGCGCCAAGGGTTGAACAGGAAAAATTCCAAAATAGGTCGATTTTGTAATTCTATATTGTCAAATTCAGCTAAAGAAACCCATTTTTGTTTCAAAAACATTTTTTTAAATTATAAAATAGAATAAATGAAAATCAAATTTAACTTTAAAGTTTAAGAAATGGTTAAATACCCCCCCCCCCCCTCAACACTTATTAAATTAAGAGGAATTATAATAAAAAATATCAAATGTATTTTTACTGAATTACAGTTATATTTGTCCTTTAGAGAAAAGATAGCGATAATTCGACAAAATAATAATGATAACACATATATACAGTGAGAACCATAAAAATGTGGAATAGGAAGACGACTTTATAGACACAAATTATGACTTTAAATAGTTAATATACATGAGACATAACAATTGTATGACTTAATGCCGTCTCCCGGATTCCTCAGTTTTCTGATTCTCATTGTAGGAACATGATGTACATAATACATGTACATCATTGGTATCAGTGTAGGAACATGATGTACATTATACATTTACATCATTAGTATCAGTGTTCATGCTTAGTTGGTTCAACTACATGCAAACCTCCGCCCGTTAGAGAAATCATATGTTTAAAAGGTCAAATTTTCATTATCAAAAACCTAAACTTTCAAAAAGCTTAAAATTGAAAAGCATAAAGATAATACAACCGAATGCTCAGAAATATAAAGATCTTTAAACAAAAAGATTAAAAAGCTTAAAGATCGTAAAGTTAAATACAAGTCGAAAGTTTAAAGATCAAAAAGCTTTAGATCAGAAAACTGACAGATAAAAAAGCTAAAAGATCAGAAAGATGTTTTCAACATCAAACAGCTTAAAGATAATAAATTTTAATGATCAGATCTATATAGATCAAAAAGTTCGGAAAACTGAATATTCATAGGCCGTAATTAAAGAATTTAAGCCGCAGCTTAAATTTGAGACGCGGCTCAAATATGGTTGGTTCCATTTAAAATTGTATTCAATGTTTCAAGATTCAAGCCGGCGCTCAATTAAAACCGGTTACTAGCGGATTTGATAATACACGGCTCAAATTCATTAAATTCGAACTCCGATAACTTAAAGATCTTAGAGCTGAAAGACAAGGAAGTTTAAAGATCAAAAAGCTTAAAAATCAAAAAGCTTAAAAATCAAAAAGCTTCAGATCAAAAAACCTGAAAGATATTAAAGCTAAAAGATCAGAAATATGTAAGATCATAAAATTAAAAAATCAGTTAGCTTCAACATTGTGAAGCTCTAAGATAAAACTTAAAAGTCTAAAAGATCAGATTTAGAAAGATCAAAAGCTTAATAATCTAGCCTAACAGACTGAAGGGTCCTAAAGCTTAAAGAGCTTAAAGCTGAAATAAAGCTTGTAATATATATACATAAATATATTATATATATATAATATCTGTATTGTATATGTTGTTAAAGAAAGGCAAGAGAAGGCTGTGTTTAGCATACCTTTCTTAAACAGAAGGATCCGTCGGTAATACCGAAAGGAAGGACAGGAAGGAAATGGATTAAGGATAGGATTCTTATGGGAAAGGGATTAAGGACTGGATTAGTATGTGAAAGGGATTGAGTATTGGACTATTAAGGATTTCATTTTTACAGGAAAAGGGATTGATGGAGGATTGGATTGTTATGGGAAAGGGATTGAGAATATGATTATTATTGGAAAGGTATGTAGGATATGATTATTATGGGAATGATATAGAGGTTATAGGATGAATGGAGATTGTTACGGAGGATGAACGATGAGTGGAGGAAGGTATGAAGGATGAAGGATGAATGGAGGAAGGTATGGAGGATCAAGGATGAATGGAGGAAGGTATGGAGGAAGAAGGATGAGTGGAGGAAGGTATAAAGGATGAAGGATGAATGGAGGAAGGTATAAAGGAAGAAGGATGAGTGGAGGAAGGTATGGAGGATCAAGGATGAATGGAGGAAGGTATGGAGGCTGAAGGATGAATAGAGGAGGGTATAAAGGATGAAGGATGATTGGAGGAAGGTTGAAGGGATCTGGAAACTACATATCCTAAGAGAAAATAATTGCTTTTCAATCTGGTTCAATCCGGTTCATATAGATCAATCTGGTTCAATTTGGTTCATGAAGTTCAATCTCATTATTTTAAACAAAAATCTTGGATTTCAAAGACACTAATCAAAGTCTTTTTTTCTTTTGTATTCTAAAAAAATGAAAAAGAAACGAAATTAAAATAAAATTGAAATCAATTTAACAAATATTTTTTTATTAAGTTACCTTGACCAAGATAAGAGTGTCGAGTTTAGGAATAGATCTCACGCTATTCTGGACTTCGATATCAGTCACCTGATAATCATTTTCATTACCTCAACAAGAACACAGTTTTCGTCTTCTTTGAGCATAGGGAAAACTCCACAACCAGTCACCCAATCATGTTCCTGACAGAAAAAAAATTTGATAAAAATATTAATTTTATGAATAAATGTTTATTATTCAGTATGACAAAAATATCAAAAAATTTCTTTAAAATCCAGGAAATTTGTCGAACAAAACATGATTTTTATGATCAGAGAAAGTTTCAGACCATTCGACCATTAACCCTCCGATCGGTTTATTTTTACTTTTAATTTTTAAAATGTGTACATTAATTTTAAATTACTGAGCAATCCCTTTAAAGGAAATAAATACAGTTTTTAAAACTATATTCGTTTATACGATTAGTCAAAGAGAAATAAAAATTGATATATTTTTCTAACTAATGTTTGTAATTGGTATTATTAATGTTGCAATTTATCTAGATTGATTAATTATAGAAAATAATTATTTCTTTCATTAAAAAAACAGTTATAGTGAACATAAAAGTTTTCAGAACTAAGGCAATTCCAATACTGACTTTTAATGACCTGGGGACAAATAACTTTAAACATTTTAAATATACACTATCAAAAAATCATATTATTTTCTATAATCTAATGATCAAATTAACTATTTTTTTATTTAATATAAAACTAACTGTTTTACGTGTAAGGAACCACTGAAAGGGGGTATTAATATTCAAGTAGTCATCAAATCATGCACCAATAAAAGAACAAAATAGAACATTTACATTGGAAGTGAAACAAATAAAAGAAACAAAGTTATAAAAACAGTGAACTAAAGCAATGAAGATATACTGCTACTACAATGTCCACAGGTTTGGGTTTCCTGTGCTCTTCTCCATCCAGATCAACTGGTTCAGATTTCCTTTGCTCTTCTTAATCCAGAACCACAGGTTCGGGTTCCCTGTGCTCTTCTCCATCCAGATCCATAGGTTTGGGTTCCCTGTGCTCTTCTCCATCCAGATCCATAGGTTTGGGTTCCCTGTGCTCTTCTCCATCCAGAACCACAGGTTTGTGTTTCCTGTACTCTTCTCCATCCAGATCCATAGGTTTGGGTTACCTGTGCTCTTCTCCAGCCAGATCCAGAGGTTCGGGTTCCCTGTGCTCTTCTCCATCCAGATCCAGAGGTTCGGGTTCCCTGTGCTCTTCTCCATCCAGATCCACAGGTTTGGGTTTCCTGTGCTCTTCTCCATCCAGATCCACAGGTTTGGGTTCCCTGTGCTCTTCTCCATCCAGATCCACAGGTTTGAATTTCCTGTGCTCTTCTCCATCCAGATCCATAGGTTTGGGGTTCCTTTGCTCCTCTCCATCCAGATTCACAGGTTCGGGTTTCCTTTGCTCTTCTCCATCCAGATCCATAGGTTTGGGTTTCCTTTGCTCTTCTCCATCCAGATCCACAGGTTCGGATTTCCTGTGCTCTTCTCCATCCAGATCCATAGGTTTGGGTTTCCTTTGCTCTTCTCCATCATCCAGATCCACAGGTTCGGGTTTCCTGTGCTATTCTCCAGCCAGGTCCACAGGTTTGGGTTTCCTGTGCTATTCTCCATCCAGATCCACAGGTTCGGGTTTCCAATGCTCCCACATGCAAGGCTCCCAAGGATCCCATCTTGCAGTTTCTGTTCCTGAGACTGACAGCTGTATAGATCTCTTCCTTTGAACAGTGGGGATTTGGAGCTGGAATTTCTCCATCCTCTCCTGAAGAGAGCTGCTGGTCCCCAACTCTTGTCTTTCCTCCACTCGCTGTGTTCTAAACCCCATATCCCGCCATTTCTTAGTTTCAGGACCAGCTGGAGCGCTGGTTGGTCAGCCTGAGGAGGGGCAGCAATAGATAAGGCGGCTGGGGCGGGGGGCCCAGGGTTAGAGACCTGACCGGAGGATTAAAAGGGGGGGGGGGGGGCTGGCCTACACTAACATTTTTATTGAAAGCCGACACACATTAGAAAAAAAGTATGATATAAAAAGTAAAACAAATATGAAAATAGATACTTTGACTAAATTTTGTGAAAAGAAAACTTCCCCCCCCCCACACACGCAATGTTTCGAAGTAATTCCCTTTTTCTTGTGGCATGAAAGCAATTTGTATTAATGTTAACATTTCTATTTAATGAATAATTAACAACACCATTAATATGATATTTGATATTCTTCCAATATATGTTATTGATGGTGAAATTAATCCTGCTGGTTTATATATATATACATGATATATCAATATATTTAAATTGATAATCTCTGTTTGGGTGTATGTTTGTTTGTTTGTCCGTTCATAACTTAGAAACCCCTTGACTGGTTTGCCTAAACTTGAGGAACTTGGAAGAACCACGGGAATGTTCTTTGAGATTTTAAGTTGAATAGGTCCACTTTTATATCAAAAATTTAGTTTCCCGGTAAAATTGACTGCAAGTGTGGAAAAACAGCGGGATAAACTATTAGTAACCGGTTCTCAAGCCAGTGTAAACAAACCAAGGATCCTTCTGATGCAACATAATAAATCCAAACATGAAGCCTAACAAGTCTAAGGGTGTTGAACTCTGTGCAACCCAAACCATGGAAAATTAAAGAATAGATAAGACCAAGCTAGGCCGCGGGGTGCAGTGAACCCGGAGTAGAGCTAGAGGGTCGAAACCGTCCTTACTAAGTATCGAGAATGATGCTGGAGAAAAGAGTAACGGGACTAGGAGTAATGGGACTAGGAGTAATGGGACTAGGAGTAACGGGACTAGGAGTAACGTGACTAGGAGTAACGGGACTAGGAGTAATGGGACTAGGTGTAATGGGACTAGGAGTAATGGGACTAGGAGTAACAGGACTAGGAGTAATGGGACTAGGAGAAACGGGACTAGGAGTAATGGGACTATCTGTCGGCAGAGAAAGCAATATCGTCGGCCATTTGATGCCCCAAGATTTTATGCCCAAGCATCTGAAGAAAAGGGCCGCCAAGCAATCTATTCACCTTTAGGTGAATGTCTTCGTGTTATTTAAGATCAACTCTAGTTGGTCCAACCGTTTGAAAAATTATAATGTAAAATAAATGTGTGTGTGCAACCATGCGTTATTATTCAACTCAATCTTGGCTTATTTATACTGAGCTCCTTTATTAAGTTTATACTAGTATTTATATAAATACATATTGTATTTAAACATACTAGGCTTACAGGGCTCTTTGCACCGGGGCTGGATCTTAGCTACCTATCCGAGTGTATTGGCCTGCGTACAATTGGGATAGTTTACTGATAAAGGATATTAAGAGATTATGGCAGCAATTCATACAGTACAAATATTAAATATGCAGTACGCTTTACGAGTACAAGTGTATTGGGAGGTTTTGTAACTTGAATTTTACTCAGTTTTCTCAGAACGGTTTATTAACGATGAAGTATTTAATGTAAACGACTGTAAAAATGGAATCATGCACATGATAAAGGAAAAGTTTATTTTAATAGTTACATCGGAAAAAAATTCACCATTTAAATATTTTCAGAAATCATCCCCGAGTACTGTAATATACAGATTGACCTCATGGAAGTGAAGTACATGGCCTGTACAATTAGTAAAAGATTAGCGTACATCATCACTCTGTATACTATAACCTCGTTGTTTGCACCAGCATACCTTTCTTATCTTTACTTTTTTAATATAAACACTGACAAAAATGTTGCAGATTTTTTTTTCTTTGTTTTGATCAACAATTATACCTTGATTTCTCGATGAAATTAAAGTTCAACTGATAGTTTGATCTTTCTAGGACAAAAAAGATCCTTGAACTTTAATAAAGGAACAAATAAATCAACTAAAACCTTGATCTATAGAAATTGTAAAGCAAAGAAGTTAACAACTATATAAAACCTTGATCTCCTGAAGATATATAAGATCATAAATTATCATTCATAATAGATCAAATAATACCTTGATCTCTAAAAGAGATATTCTCTGGTTTGGATCTTTACGTAGCATCCTTGTTAGAAGATCTTCCAGCTCTGCTGATATGGAACCAGGAGGAATCTTAAAAAATAAGTTTAAAGGGCTTGTAGACGAAATATTTTAAATAAAAACATGTTATCTATATAAAAACAATTATTTTCTCTTAAAGTGACTATAAGCGTAATTTCAAGTGACCCCCTATCCAAAGATGGCAATATGTCTGATTTTCAACATAACCCTTAAAAGCTTTGTCTGATCAAGTATGAATTAAGTATCCATGTTTTTGTCTCTTTAAACGGGTTTTCTCGAGTTTCTTATTTATCAGAGGCATTGGAGAGATTATCGAGTCAGAAAAACGTCGATATCTCTCATACTTTGATCGGATAAAGGTTTCAAGGGTACCTTTGAAAATCAGGCAGTGCAATCGTTACATGGAGGGTCAAATGAAATTAAGCTTTACTGCTTTAGGTCACATGTTTATTAAGAAATACAGGCATTTCTGCGGATAAAATGCGCAAACTATCAATTTGAATCCTTGATCAGAAAAAGGTTTAAAAGTTACCGTTGTGAATCAGACATACAACTGTTGAAACAGAAGTGACTTTATATTACGTCGCATACCCCTTTACACTAAATTGTAGCATTATTTTGTTTGAAGTATTGCAAATGTTTTCAAAGAAATCTCCTTTTCTGAAAACAAAGGTTTGATATTCTCATTAGCGACTTTTTCACCCTTAAACTAATTGTAATTCTTATTTTTGTCTCTCTTGTTGATGGAGACCCATGAGAGAGTTCAAATTTTACTTGCGCGCCTTTTAATTCCGCGCAATTCCATGCAATTCTGCACAATTCCACACAATTCCACGCAACGGAATGCAATTCTGTTAAAAAATGAAAAAGTTGCCCCTTTAAAGGATTACCATATTCTATGTTTGGTGAAGTACCAGCAACCTTGGCTGATTTATATATTCTTTTTCAGGTACAGTAGTAGTTTAACTGCATTTTTGAATAATTTATGACCTATCGTTGGATTAAACATTTATACCTTTTCATAGTACACTTGTAGTATTTTTCTAGACCCTTCCTGATATTTCAAGAACTGTATTTCTAGAAGTTTAGTAGTATTTCTAGAAACTTCTATTGATATTTCAATTGCTTTAACAGTATTTCTAGATGTTTAGTAGGTTTTCTAGAAACATTTATTAATACTAGGCTTTTAGGGTGCTTCGCGCCCATCTTCTATTTAAATTGTGAACATGTTCTTTTTGTTTACATTTTAAAACAAAGAAAAAAATTTTGCGGATTTTTAAAAAAAATTCGCGGATTTTCAAGAATTTAAATTTTTTACAAAATTAAAAACCTTTAAAACACATTTTTTTAATTTTAATCATTCATAAACCTTCCCTGTGGTCACGTGATGTCCCACAAAAAATTTGGGCCCGATCGGTTCAGCCGTTTTGACGTTTATTGGATACAAACAAACAAACAAACAGACACCCAGACAGACAAGCCAAATTTGTATATAGATAACGAGAAAAAAATACAAAAAAGAACACTACCTCGACATTTTTTGTTTTGATGATGTTATACAGTGCCACGATATTGTTATCAAAGAAAGGAACTCTACCGTAGACCAGGGAGTACAGGGTCACACCCAGGGACCAGATATCAGCAGCCTTAAACAAACATGGTTCAAGCTCCATACACAACGGAGTTACTTGGCCATCCATGGCCGGATAGAACTAAATAAAACTAGTGTTATCTCAACGATTTTCCCTCAACCAAATTATTGCTCTTGTAAAGGCTTATTCACAAAAAAGGAAAATGATACCGAAAAAAATTAGGGTTTGAAGGAAAATTTGTTTTCCTATCCGATGTTTCTATGAATTTTCGAAACCTTAATACCTACCAAGATGTTCCTATCTTTTGTCACAAAAAAACTGTATTATTATAAAGCCCTGTTAAGAATGATCAACTTAAATGTAACATCAATTTATTCAAATATTCATGGTTCACCCTAGGCAACCCATTTGTTTAAGAACAAGTTTAAAACAAAACTGTCAAGTTGGTATTTAAGCATTGCGCCGGTATTGTTGGTCTATATACAGTACAGAAGTGGCGGGCCAGTAAAAGCTATCATTATTATACAGAAGTCGTCGTCGTAATAAAGTTCTGTACCAAGATTTAAAACAGTAACTCCCATAAAGAGAGTACTGCACTTTTTTGAGGGATGAAAACACACGCAGTGCTGCCCAGACTAAGCTTTGTTTACATTCCTCCAAGAAACTGCAGTACACATTGTGTTATGGAAGTTTCTATATTTTATTTATTGGTCTGTACAATACAGTCGCAGTCAGTGCAGTGGCTGGCAGGTAATAGTAGTTGGTACACTGTACATTACAGAAGTGGTGGACCGTTACTAATAGTCAGTACGGTACAAAAATGACTGGCTGGAACTAGTATGAATGGAAGTGACAAGCCGGTACATAAGTGACAGGCCGTTTCTATAGTCGGAAGGGTACCTTCCCGGAGTAGGGTGGTTCTCCTGGTTGCTGTGACAAGCACTCTGGTGGTGTAAAGGCAGGGGTCCCAACAGTACTTGTCAAAAATGCATCATTTCCATCAAATTCATTACTTACACCAAGATCAGCTATTTTAACCTAGAATAATGATAA